GGCTTTTGGGACCCTTTTCTTCCTACTGGGTTGCCTCGTCTAGCTTTGATATGAGAGTATGTGCCTGGTCTTATTATAACTTGTTATATATCACTGGGAGGCCTGCTCTTTTCCGAAGGAAAACGGAGAATTGGATCTGGGGGAGAGCAGAGGTGGAGAGGAAGGGACTGGGAGGAGCAGGGGAAGGGGAAAACTGTAGTCAGAATGTAATATATGAAAGAAGAATAAATAAATTAATTAAAATAAAGAAATTCCTGTTTCCTTTTTCTCCTTTCTCTTCACTTCCATCCCTTCAGCAGTATTTAAATATATCCCTTAAAATTATATGAACCCATTTCTCAGCACCCTGACCTCTGCCACTTTCATCTAAACCACTGTTGTTATCTCTTGACAGTGTTGTTGGTTGGGTCCTCTTAGAAGCAGATACTGAGAGAGAGAGAGAGTTTATTAGACAGCACATTTATTAGGAGGTACCCCTGGGGTGAAGAGGTAGGGTAGGGGAGTAGATAGGACACATGGAGAAGTACAACATGTATGGCAGTGTGCTGTGCTGGTAGCACCTGTGTGAAGAGCTATGAAACTAAAATGAGTTGTCACTTTGTGTGGTTTTGACCATACTCATCAGGCCTTTATGCGCCTGTCTCAGGCATTGGAGTCATGTTACATTGAGAAAGGTGTGTATTCAGTGGAATGGCACTCAGTAGCTGAGAGGGTCCATGAAACACCACCAGGTAGAAGCACCAGTTCTGGCTCAGGCGAGTCCCTTTCTGCAGGGAGAGCTGGAGGTACATCGCTGTCTACAGTAGGACACCCTGTGCCACTAGATTCTACCCCTTTAATGCACTTCTACTTCCTTTGTGCTGAGGCAAACACATTCCCCCATTGGTGTCAAGATCTCTTTCACTGTGGATGTGAGACATGAACAGATTAGGAGCTAGGGTAGGCAGGGCAGTTTGTACTTTACTTCTTGTTCCTAATCCCGATAGTTTTTCCTCGTGAGAAAACTTTAAAGGTTTTTTAATTTGGAGTATATCCTGCAACTTAAGAGGACAGAACTCCATCTCTATAGAGGGAGTACCACCTTTGAACTGGTGCTTTTGTTGTACCTTCAGTGTAGTTCCACCTAGTCTGTTATGATAACCCTGAACCCTCTGTTCCTGTGTTTTTCTTCTCTCTTAATTCTGGCCGTTGTTGAGAATAAGGTATTGAAATTCCTATGGTTTTATATAGCTCTCTTTCTATCTAGTTCTGTCATGCCAATACACACTAGGTTAACACATTAAAGATAATAACCTCAGAAGTCCTGCCAGTGTTTCATTAAGGAATGAAAACAGCACCTTCTTCTTGGGTTAATTTAACCAAGAATGAGCCCAAATTTCAATTCTCTGCCTCTTCCTGGGTCTGTGGTCTGGTTGCTTACCTACCTATCTGTAATCTGTCTGTCCCTGTTGCCTGTAAGTTGTGTCTTATGTCGGTTATGCCCCTGTATCTGTGCCTGTCCCTAACAAATGACTTTCTTCTGTATTTACTAAACAGCACAGAAAACATGGCGTGTGAATGGAATCAGTGATACTTCACAGAAATCTTTAACAGAATTTTACAAGAAAAATTACTTTACTGGCCCAAGCTGACTCTTGAATAGCCAACAGTACTGCAGATAGGCATCATCAAGCTATATCCAGATTGCTTCCAACATTTATGGTAGACATTGGATGCTTCCAGCCTCTTGGCTGCTTTTAGCAAATGATTACAACACACATACACAAATATATTACTTTGGTTCAGGGTAGAAGACTTCATAATTTAAAATTCAAACTATGTTTAACTTAGATTGTAAAAGTTGATTGCCCAGAAAATCCAAGACATAGTAAGATTGGTTACACTGTTCTCTTAAAGGCAGGTTAAATTTAATCAGGCTGTGTATTGTCTTAAATGATCTCAATGTTCATTATTAACTTTGCTGTCGGGTCTGCCAAAAGTTAAGACTTTTTGAATTAGAGATATTTTCATAAAAGTATATCACTATACTTTCAGTGTTGCCGGTATGTTTATATGTGGTTTCTCATTAGGTACTTAAATGTTTTTAATTGTTGTATCTTATTGTTAATTGAAACCTTTGTAGTAGTATTGTCTTTTGTAACCTGTTTTCAAATTTCAAGTCCTCCTTTTGGTTAATATTATATTTATATAGGTGGAGTTTCTCTCTGTTCCAGCAGCAACTCCCAAATAACCAGACTGATACTTATTATTAATTATACATGCACAGCTGATAGCTTAGGCTTGTTTTTAGTTAGCTCTTATAACTTAAATTAACCCATTTCTGTTAATCTGTGTGCTGCCCCAGGCTCGTTTACCTCATATATGAACTGCCCATGTTGCTTGCTCTGTGCTTCATGGCGTTTCGTCTGACTCTGCCCTCTTCTTCCCAGCGTCCTTTGTGTCTCACTGTCCTGCCTATACTTCCTGCCTAGCTACTGGCCATTCAGCTTTTATTAAACCAATCAGAAGGCACCTTGGCAAGGACACATCTTCACAATGTACAAAAAGATTATTCCATAACATATTAATATGGAATATCATTTCCCATCCTTTCACTTTGAGTCTCTTGTAAACAGCATGTAGTTAGGTCCTATTTTTGATCCTCTGCCAATCTCTGGAAAGTTTAATACTTATAGGTAAAGTAACTGCTAATTAGGAAAGACTAATATAATTTGTTGTTTACTTTCTTTGTACCTTACAGCTTTTGCCCTTCATTTCTGGCCCGTCTTCTCAGTTTAGTTGCTAGTTTGTTCTAAAACACTTAAATTCTGTATTCATTTATTTTTCTGTATATTTTGTACAATTATGTTTATTGTTACCATGAGGCTTGTGTTTGAATTCTTATCACACTCTAGTTTAAATTTCTATCAGCTTAAATTCAATAAATTAATAACTATTCTCTATTCGCACCTCATTTATTATTGAATCACCAAATTACCTTTATATATTGTATGCCCCAAACATAAGCTTATAATTTTTAAAATATATTAATTTCTTAAATTATGCATGAAACAAAATATTAAGTTGTAGCCAGGGTTATTATTGTTTAAGACTACCTATCTGTTTACTTATCTTTTGCAGCTCTGCTTCTTCCTTGGGATTGTTGCTGCATTGGTCCATGAGGGTGGAGGGAGCAGAAGTAGGGAACAGGGTTTGGATGACTGTGGGTATGATGGAGACAGCCCTCTGGGAAACAGACTTCAGTGAATCAGCTCAACTTTATTCCAGAGTATAAGGAATATATAGGACCGGGGAGCCTGGGGACAAACCCTAATTTCCATTAAGTGGCATGCTCTATCACGAGGTTTCATAGGTGGCAGTAGGGCCCTGGAGCAGAGCTCCTAGCACAAGTCTTTTAGCAGGAATCTGTGCCAAGGGTCAAGCTAAAGATAAATCAGGCAGCTGGCTTAGAGACAGCTTTCAGATAGGTCAGTCCTCAGGGCCAAGGAATATTCTCCAGATAAGAGCAGGTAGAAAGCAGGAAATTTCACAGGGAGGGAGGGAGTCTTTGTGTCCCTGAGCTTTTGGAAAAAGCTGCCAGGCCATGATAGACTGCAACCTCTGACCAGCCAGCAAGACCTTTCAACAACCTTTATTAGGATTTTTATTTCATATGTTGTTAGGTTGTTGCCTAGTGCCCATTTAGTTTGCCTTTTATCCTGGGCAGGTCTAGTGGTAACAGACTTTCAGCTTTTATTTACTTATTTATTTTAATTAGGGACATCTTAATTTCTCCCTTGCTTTTGAATGCTGCTGTTGCTGGGTATAGGATTCTTTGACAATTTTTTGTCTTAGCACTTTGAACTTATTAGGCATCTGGCCACCAATGTGATAACAAGCCCTGCTAATATTCTTAGGTGACCCTGTGTGTGTGACTTCATTCTTTCATGTTAACTTTCACAAGTCTTTGCCCTTCAAAAGTTTGAAAGTGCTAGGATTACAAGCATGCATCATTTTGCCCAGCATATTTGCTATTTTTTATTGGACCTTCTACTTTAATAACTTAATAATAGTAATCTAATAATGCTTTGTCTGAGAAAATTTAATATGCTTGTTATCAGATAGTGTATACATGTTTCTTCATTTCATTGACTATTGTTTTATGTGATTTAGTAGGATATAGCTTTTCATATAATTTTATGCAGTTTTATTGACTATGTAGTTATCAGCATTACACACAATGCTTAGTTACTCCAGAATTTTTTCTTTGTATATGCATTTCCTTGCAATTTTTATTTTTAATTTCTATTTTTAAGTTTTTGAGACACGGGCTTGTTAGGCAACCAAGAATTTGTTGTGATCTTGCCTCAATCTCTAAGTGGTGGGAAAATAAAACCAGGAGGTTAGAGCTGAGCATTTGTAACCCTTTTGATGTTGTTAAAGGTTGCTGCTGTCTTCTAAAGGTTCTACCTGTTGTTGCCAGCAGTGCGTGTGCAGATTTCAGTATTATCCTCTCACCACACTGCACTCTGTGATTCACAGAGTTCTTTGCTTCTGAGGTTAAAAAAATAATAACCTGCTGGATGTCATGTGGCACAGGCCTTCAATCCCAGCGGCCCTGGCAAGGCAGAGACAGGAGGATCTCTGAGTTTAAGGCCAACCTGGTCTTCATAGCAAGACTTCAGGGCTACAGAGTAAGACCCTGTTTTCCCTCATGCCTGCCCGCCCAAAAAGATCACTTGGCTTTGTTGGATTGCTAGTAAAGCTATGCAGTTCATGTGTTTTGTTTGTTTGTTTTCTCATTTCCTATTTGGTTGCTCCAACTGGTCAGTAATGCTGTTCTAATATTTTAGTATACTACATTTCTTTAAACAGCTTTACTTATTGAGGATTTTTAAACAACAAAAAAACTTTTTAATAATAATAGACATTAATTTTCAAGTTCTGTGTAGTAAAGCCTATTTTAGACCTGTAAGTTGTTCTGTAAGGTCTTGTTAAAACATGTTTCTTCTGTGAACCAGGAGCCTTTTGTGGCCGATGAATACATCGAACGTCTTGTGTGGAGAACCCCAGGAGGTGGGTCTCGAGGTGGACCTGAAGCTTTTGATCCTAAAAGGTAAACTAAAAAACAAAATTTTCATAGTCCCAATGTAGGACTACAAATTGTGTTTAGATTAGAGACGACTGTATTGGGATTCCTTTCAGTGTTCATATAAAACAAGTTTAATTAACAGTTTGTTCCTATCTCAAAAAAATTTCTCACAGCATTAGAAGTCTGAAATTGTGTTTTTCCTGAAGCACTTTAACTGATTGAATGAAGGGATTTTATTGACATAAAGAATTTAATTTCTCTGCTTAGCATTAAGTTGGAAAAGTCTGGTTTAAACCATGGCTCAGCATGGTACTGCACACCTATCATCTCAGCAGTAGAGGCTGAGGCAGAGCTGGGAGTTGGAAGCTAGCCTGGAATCCATAGCAAAACTCTGAGCCTGAACAAACAAATAATAATAATAAAAAGTTGACTATGTTCTTTTAAACCTAACAGCTGTAAATCAGAGAAACAAAGTCATTGAAGTCTGTTATGCGTATTTTTTATTGTGCGTTTACCTTCTTGATTTTTAAATGCTGAAGCTTGTTTGGATATTTAATGGGAATTCTTGGAGGTTTTCCTTTGCCTTAGAGATAATCCATTGCAAAGTCAATAACAATTGCCTATATTTCCAAATGCTATGTCTTTTTTAAAGCCATGCAACCTGTTAAAAGTGAAAAGAAAATTATGACATTGCCAAAAGTTTTTTTTTTTTTTTTCATTGAAGAAATTACAACAAGATACTGTAAGGAAAATGAACATGCTTGTCCCTATCTCAACAAACCCTATTAAGACCTTCCCGAAGGGACCTGGTCATCCCTTTTTGATTAATAATAGGCAAGTTATTGTATTATTACTGTCCTCTACCAGGTTATTAGAAGAATTTGTGAATCATATTCAGGAACTCCAGATAATGGACGAAAGGATTCAAAGGAAAGTAGAGAAGTTAGAACAACAGTGTCAGAAGGAAGCTAAGGAATTTGCTAAGAAGGTCCAAGAGCTTCAGAAAAGCAATCAGGTACACAGTTGGCTGAGACTATAACATATTTTCATTTTTCTTAGGTTATAATATTGTTGTGATCTTGCCTTTTCAGCCTTAGGCATTTGAAGAGTCAAGTCAAATTATAATAACTTCTAACTTTCTGGTCCTGTGTAATAAAATAATGTATTATTGCCTTCTATTGCCATTGGTGTGCTAGTTGGGTGGGTTTGGAAGCACAGCACTCCTCTTTTCAGGTTATGACCCTTGTTTCAGCTCTTGAGTAAGCTGTCACAAGACTGACTGACTAGTCCATAGACCTGTACTTTGAGAAATTCCTTATTAGAATGGATGTTTAAGAAGTCATTTTAATTCTATCTAATCATAAGTAAGACCAGATCTGGATCAAGTGTTCCCCTGGTGCGGTGGTTCTCAGTGGTTCTCAACCCTCCTAATGTTGTGACCCTTTAATACAGTTCCTCATGCTGTGGTGACTCCCAACCATAAAATTATTTTTGTTGCTACTTCATAACTATAATTTTGCTACTGTTATGAATCATAATGTAAATATCTGATATGCAGGATATCTGATATGGGAGGTGTCACGACCCACAGGTTGAGAACTGCTGTCCTAAAGAAATTTGATTTAGGCCAGGCGGTGGTGGCGCACGCCTTTAATCCCAGCACTCGGGAGGCAGAGCCAGGCGGATCTCTGTGAGTTCGAGGCCAGCCTGGGCTACCAAGTGAGTCCCAGGAAAGGCGCAAAGCTACACAGAGAAACCCTGTCTCGAAAAACCAAAAAAAAAAAAAAAAAAAAAAAAAAAGAAATTTGATTTGAGTAGTTTCACAAGAGGCATTAGGATATGCCTCAATGAGAGTTCTACTGTAACTGGGAAAAGCAGGTGTAGAGCTCTCTTCCTCAGTCCATTTTTCAGTAAAACCAAACCACTAGTCTGGCCCCAAGGGCTACACATGCCAGACTTCTTAGCTTCTATTAGGTCTTGGGATTGATCTGAATGTCTAAATCTCTTTCCCTGGCTTGGTTTAATTTGGAATTTGTCTTTTCTAAGAATAGTTTGAAGAACATTGTTGAACTTTGTTCACTCTCGGGGAGCAAGCTCATTTCTGCTAAAAGCTCATCATGTCCTTTTATTTAAGCGTATATGGCTATGGTAAAGTATTTGATTAAAGAAATCAATAATTTAAGTGTGTTTTTGAATAATTATGGTGACAGTTTCCATATACTTCTAATAGAGTTTTGCCTTGATTAATAAAAATAATATTAATAGTTAATGTAACAAACTTGAGCCAGTCTGTCTGAGTTTGAATTGTAGCCTGACCACTAAGCTAATTGTGTAATCTCAAGCAATTAAACATCTCTGAGTGTCATGCTTTTATGTGTAAAATGGGTTATGATAACTAAGTAAACATATTGATAGTAATATATAATTGATAAGCAATATATTTAGAATAGTATCTGATGCAAAGCAAGTCCTCAATAAATGTTGCAGCTCTTCTCCCTCTAAAGATTAGAACAAAAGTATCCTACTGAATTATCAATTATCAATCGTCCTGCTATTGGCAAATCTAAGGAATTGATTGCGTTCAGTTTTTTTGTATTGTAGGACAAGGGAAAGAGAATGCAGAAAATATTATCTTTGCTTTAGTAGAATAATTTCTGTAGTCTATCCTGTTTTCAAAACTTGCAAAGAACCAATTTATCACAGATTTACTAGTGTCACTTGCATTTTGGTTGGAAGTGGTAAGACAGAGTCTTGATATGTAGTGGAGATTGGCCACTCACTTGCAGTTTTCTTCCTATCAGTGTCTCATGTGCTGAAATTACAGGCATGTACCACCACACCCAGCTTAGCATTGCTTTTTAAATATTTTTAATGTTAATATTTTTAATATTTTCTTTTTTTTTTTTGGTCTTTCGAGACAGGGTTTCTCTGTGTAGCTTTGCGCCTTTCCTGGAACTCACTTGGTAGTCCAGGCTGGCCTCGAACTCACAGAGATCCACCTGGCTCTGCCTTCTTTTTAATCAGTACCCTTCAACTTCTAATACATTTTTCTAATCTTTTCAGTTCAGTAGCGGAGGTGATTTTCAAAAGTCCAGTCTCATGGAGCTGGGGAGGGGCTGTGTGTAAAGGGCTCGCTCTGCAAGCATGAGGGCCCGAGTTCCTGAAGAGCTGGGTTTGGTGGCGTTCATGTGTAACCCAGCACAGGGGTGGGGTGAAGGGATGGCGGAACAGAGACAGGAGGAGCCCTAGAGCTTGCTGGTTGCCATGACAGTAAGCTCCAAGTTCAGTGAGACCCTGTCTTACACATAAGGTGGAGTGCAGTAGAGGACGGCACCTGGTGTTGACCTCTGATCTCTAAACTGTGAGGCTGGTATAGTAAATATGTTTTTACTGTGTTAGGGGTCAAACCCAGGGACTTGTTCATGATAGGCAAGTGATCTGCCATTAATGCCCTGAGCTGGTAGTTTAGTTTGGAGAAGTATTAACATATAAACTTAATAACTTATAAACTTACAAACTTCTCTGATTATATTCTCTGTGTGCACATGGTCCTAGGTTGCCTTCCAACATTTCCAAGAACTAGATGAGCACATCAGCTATGTAGCCACCAAAGTGTGTCACCTTGGAGACCAGTTGGAAGGGGTAAACACACCTAGACAACGTGCAGTGGAGGCTCAGAAGTTGATGAAATATTTTAATGAGTTTCTAGATGGAGAATTGAAATCTGATGTTTTTACAAATTCTGAAAAGGTAAGCATTGTCCGAATAAAAGCAATAATCAAATTTTAATTGGTTTGCCTTGTATTTTTAAAAAGATTTATTTGTTTGTGTGGGAGCTTCATACACCTGTGCACAGTTGCCTTGCATTTTTATTTATGGAATTATAATTCATTATAAATGCTGAGATAACTATTTTTAAGTATTTACTTATCCTTTGACTTTTAACATTAATGAAATTTACATAGTCTTTAATAGTTATATACTATAGGGTAGTAGACCTGAACTGAATTGTTGAGGAGCTGAACTCTTTTTGTAAAGGAATCCACAAGTCCTATTTTCTATTTACTTGAATAAAGATCCCTTACAAAGGATTAAAGCAAATTAGGCCATGATCATTGAAAACTCTTGAGTTAGTTTTGTTATTTTTTTCATAACACAGTCACTTAATCTTCATCTAAAGGTATATGTTATTGGTTATTCTACATTTAAGAGGAAGCAACTTAGCTTGCTTTCCTCCCATTTAGGGAAAAATAACAATTTATGAGAAAAAAGATAGTCTCATGAATCATATGCTTATTGTATTGTTGCCCACTCATTTGTTGAATACAGTTTTACTGATTTATTCCAAATTTACTGTGTAGAACATCAGATTTCAAGGTGTTAAAAACTAAATATTAATGAAGTTTGTTTTGAATTAAGCAACATATTCTTATGAGTAGAACTCTGTAAAGCTAAAAGATTTATAATATTTATATATAAAAATGGTTACATGTCGGTAGATAATCCCTCTAAAGAAAGACAGTGTTTTAAAGATTGAGTTTTGAAAATTATAGTATAAAGTAGTCCTGATAAATATCATAGTATCGTTTTATATTTATGTGGTTTATATACAGGAATGTATATGAGACTTGACAAATTGCATTTCAGGATGGTTATGGAATTTTTAGCTTTTTTTTCTAAATCTTAATAAATATAGTATGAAAGTACCTATTTAAAACATGAAAATTCTGTTTTCTATTGAATGAGTTGGATATAGTAAGACTGATTCCTTAGATTAGTTTTGGTTGTACCCGTTAGATTGTATGCTCTAAACAAAATACAACTATCTTAACCAATATGTTACCCCATTTTGGTTTTTTTTAATAGATTATTTTTAATATAATATATTATGATTATGGTTTTTCCTCCCCCAACTCCTCCTGGATCCCCCCCCACTTTTCCACCTTCCCAAGTCTACTCCCTTTCTTTCTCACTTATTATGATACAAGCAGGTATCTAAAATAATTATTGTGATTATACAAAAATTATTAATAAACAATTCTGATTGTATATTCTGTGTGCACATGGTCCTAGGTTGCCTTCCAACATTTCTATTAACTAGATGAACACATTAGCTATGTAGCCAGCAAAGTGTGTCACCTTGGAGACCAGTTGGAAGGGGTAAACACACCTAGACAGCATGAAGTGGAGGCTCAGAAATTATTATTGTTAACATCATTATAATGTTATTATTATACAAAATAAAAGCAAACCAGTATAAGACAAAAAACAAGCCAAAGAAAAGCTCAAGAAACATACAGATTCAGATTCACACATACAGAAATCCCATAAAAATATAAAACTGGGAACCATAATATATACAAAGGACCTATAAAGTTAAAAATAACAAAAAGCCCTTACAAAGCATTATGAGACAAAGTTAAAAAACAAAACAAAAAAACCTTACAAAGTGTTGTAAGACAAAGAGCCTACAAAATGCCATTGTGTTCATTCTGTGTTGGCTATCTGCTGATGGCCATGGGGCCTGGCCTTAAGAGTGGTTTGTATACCGAGTGAGACACAGTTAGATAAACCTAACTTTTCATTATTGTGAGTGGTTATCAATGGAGAGAGCTTCTGGTTTAGGATGTGGGCTTGTGTCCCCTCCCCATCTCAGCACTGGGACCCTATCAGGCCCAGACTTGTGTAGGCACTGTGCATGCTGTCATAGTTTTTGTGAGTTCGTGTATGTGTCAGAAGGTCTTGCCGTGTTTAGAAGGTCTGGTTTTCTTGCTGTTTTCTCCGGCTCTTACAATCTTTCCGCCTCTTCTGCAGGGTTCCCTGAGCCTTGAGGGGAGAGAAAATCTAGAGATATCCCAATTAGGACCAATTGCTCTAAAGTCTTACTCTTCGCAGTGTCCAGTTGTAGATCTGTCTATTATTTCCCATCTAGTGCAGGAGGTAGCATCTCTGATGATGGCTGAGTGAGACATTGATCAATGGATATAGCAGAACGTCATTAGAAGTCATTATATTGCTACGTTCCTTTTGAAACTGTGAATAGAAGTAGCAAAAAGTATATTTACATTGACTGATTTTTTTTAAACTTGATTTATATTTATTTGAATGTTTACTCTTTAATCCTTAAAATTTTAAAGTTACCCTCAACTAATCACGTATTTCTTGATGTTACTGTTAACTCTTAACCCCTTTAGGTTTTAATTGAAAGGAAACCATCTTTACATTGTTAGTACCTTTCTTGGTTCCTGAGTCATCATAATTGGAGACTCACAGTATTTAAGTTAGTTTCTCTCCTTTGCTTCACTTTGACTTGTTTTCCTTGGTCTCCTGTGCTCTGTATACTTTATTCTGTTTTCCCCACTTGCTTTGTTTTGTTCTTGTCACTTGGTTACTCTTTAATAATTAGGAGTCATCAGTTTTTGGCTTGGCACTTTAACAGCTAGCCATATGTTATGACTTGAGAGTTGTCTGTTCTAGAAGACACAGGTTCGGTTCCCAGCATCCACATGGGTGGCTGACAACCATTCATATTTCCAGTTGTAGGCAATCCAACACCCTCTTCTGACCTTTGTGGGCACTAAAGCTATACACATAATTTTAAATAAATAAAAAAATTAAATTCATATATGACATTAGATTGACAATTATCAAATAAACTTTTGGCTATCTCAGTTTCTGAATTTTTGCCATTTGGAAAGAAAAGGAAAATCACCCACATAGCTCTAAAGAAATGTGACTGTAGGAGGGATTAGAATTAGATAAAATGCCAAACCATCATATTACTTTTCTTTTTCCCCTCTCTCTCTCTCTCTCTCTCTCTCTCTCTCTCTCTCTCTCTCTCTCATGTGATATATGTGTATTTTAAAAAGCAAACTCTACTTGCTTATTCTTACTACATACATTAAACAAAGTTTGCAGTCTTTTAGGGATCTTATCCTTTTTGCTTTTAAAAAAATCTGTTTTATATTTATTTCTGTCCATACATGTATGTTTGTTTTCCTTCTTTTCTTCCTTTCTTTCTGTTTTTTAAGATGAGTTCTTGTGTAGTCCAGGCTGTCCTCAAACTCTCTACATTGCCAAAGATGATTTTGAATTTCTGATCTTCCTTCATCTCCTAAGTCCTGGGTACAGTTGTATATCACCACACTGGTTTTTATAGGATGCTGGGAATGGAACTCAGGGCTTGTGTATGCTAGGCAAGCACTCTACAAACTGAGCTACACCTTTTTCTTAGAGTAGTAGTTTAGTACTTTTTGTGTGTAAGACCTGTTAACTGCTTTAAACAGTTCAAATGAAAGCAATTTATTAGGTGGTGTTGATACCTTTTGTGTTTATTGATGAATATTTTAAGTGATATTGTAAACAATTCTTACCAAACAATTAGCCCTGAGGATTCAGTAAAAACAGCTTTTCAGAAACAAAACTGTGGTACTTCTACTGCATCAAGCAGAATTTACAAACAGCTTGCTTCCTAAAAGGAATAAGAACAAAATCCTGATGGAAGTAGAGCTGGCTGACTGGTAGCTGTGTTCTGAAGAGGATACTGATGAGGAAAAAACGATGGGCTTTACTAGTAAGACTGAGCGGCATGGCCAGTAGTGAGACTGCAGTAACACTTACACTCACATGTGTCAGGGTGAAGAGAGCACATGGCAACTGAAATGAGTGCCTTGCTGACTCAGACAGAGAGAGGTGTGGTGGTATTTAATCCCAGAAGGCGAGCCTTTAATCCCAGGGAGTGGTGGTAGAAAGCAGAAAGGTATATAAGGCGTGAGGACCAGAAACTAGCAGCATTTGGCTGGTTAAGCATTTGGCCTGGTTAAGCATTCAGGCTTTTGAGCAGCAGTTCAGCTGAGACCCATTCTGGATGAGGACTCAGAGGCCTCTAGTCTGAGGAAACAAGACCAGCTGAGGATACGTCGAGGTGAGGTAGCTGTGGCTTGTTCTGCATCTGATCTACCAGCATTCACCCCAATAACTGGCCAGGTTTGATTTTATTAATAAGACCTTCTAAGATTCCTGCTACAGCGAGGTCTAAAGCAGCAATACTACTGTGGACTATTGCATGGAATAAACAAGAACAAGTCCTGCTACTATCCCTTGCCAGGGGTCACATAAACTCTTAGAAATATCTATACTAATGTTCTTAGTCCTTCCTTCATGGTTATATGACTCTTCATGTAAAACAGTATGAGTCATCACGAAGTCAGTTACTAAAATTGTGCGAAAATAAAAGTACTAAATTGAAATTTAAAGGAAGAAGTGGCCCCTGTGTGACTTCCTTACACTCTTCCATAAATAAGCATAAATGTCTGTATTTAAAGAATTTTAGAAATCTTGTCTAAATTCCTTTATTCAACTTGAAAATAAATACTTGAAAGTATATACATATTTCATTTAAGATACTATATTAAATTGTATCTTTATTTTTTTGTACATGTTATTAAATCATTCAGCTTGATATATGCAGCTGTATACTCTAAATCTTCTCAAGTCTTGTCTGTTTTGTTTGACCTCATAAACTTAGAAGAAATTTCCACTTTGCTTTTGACAAACAAGGATTTTTAATTTTCTCAGAGAGTAAAATTGAATTGCAGACTTTGTTGGGGGAAGAATTGTGGCAAAAAAAAAAAATCACAATATTTTAAGCACCAGAAAGATACATGGTTGGCTTTTGAGTTGTTATGGTGTTGCCCCCAAGGCTTTAAAGAAAATTGTTTGGGGCAGGTGTTATGACTGTGTATAGGGCAGTATTACTCTTTTCAGCTCTACTATTAATTTTTGTAATCTAAGAGTTCTTTTTAATTGTTACTTTTACTTATTTCTAATAGATAAAGGAAGCAGCAGACGTCATTCAGAAGTTGCATCTGATTGCCCAGGAGTTACCTTTCGATAGGCAAGTTTATACCTCAAGAACTTAATAGTAAATATATTTATGGGATAAAATTGCATTTTCCCTGTATTTTTCTTGCTCATTAAGGCAGCAATAATTTATTGAGCACCTCATTTGTATAAGATACAGTGTAATATAATGATATACCTTGAAGTAACTTCATTGTTTTTTGAAAAACAAAATTGATGAAGGAGATCTTTTAAATTGACAAAGTAAGATTTTGAATTTTCCTATTTGGAACTTTGAGAACTAGGGTTAACTTGGCTATTCAACTCTTTTTGTATTAATAGACCAGGATTAAATTTGGGGGATTCTGGTCACCTTTGAAAAGCTGGTGAAAGCTATATAGTTTCTTCAAAAAATTAAGATGTATACAGATTGTTCTTTGTAATTGTATGGAATTTTAGACTACCCATAGAACCTATCCTAGAGAATTTAAGTTAAGAATGCCTGTGTAATGCAGGGTCCTGGGGCCATCACTAACTAGATACTACTTTAAAAATAAACTGTCCACTGAGAAAGAAATGTTCTTCATGATCTCTCATAAGAAACAGTTCTTTCAGGTAACTATCTGAAAGAAATACAACTTTCTGCATAATACAGTACATGATTTTTATCTGTTGATACTTGAAGATCTTCAGATGCAGATAGAATGTGGATATAGTTTGTTATACTTAAAGCTTGACTGTTATTTTCCTAGCATACAGTTAACCACCCCCAATAAATTTTTTCACTCTCAACCCTGTACCATCATAAGGGATGAACAGTAGTAGTTTTCTTAGTCACCCAAGAGTTGGACCCTTACTTAAATGGATAAAATGTCTAGGTCAAGATTAGGTAGATGTTAATAGTTGGCTACCTTCTGTATCCTGCTTTTTTTTCTCTACCACTGTTACTGTTCATGCCTATATTTATCTTTTCTATTCCTTGTGGGGGTGGAGGCTTCTGAATGCTGGGGAGTGAACCCAAGCTCTCATACATTTGACATGCCTCTAGCCAAGCCTGGAGTTGAATATATATACTAATCAGATCTAAAGTATTCACATAGATCAATATAGCCATTCTGTTGTGGACTTTGTTGTTTTTATATAGTGCTTTAAGTGTGTAATCCTTCCTCACCTGCTTTTAGCATCTTCTTTCTTCAAATGATAAGTTGTATAGGATCTCTCAAAATCCTTTTTCCTTGATGCTTGATACTTGAAAAGATTTTAGTGTATTTTGTGGTTTTCAGTTTGTAAAAATTGATAGTTATTCTCCTAGGCTCATCTCTAAAGTGGCAATTCCATGGAGTCTCTCTGATAGTCAAAAGGGATTTATTCTGAGTTAACTCACAATATGTATAAGGGAGTTGGTCACAAGATCCAGGAGGGGTGGGGCATGGTCCAACGCAGTTCTCTGAAGAACTCTGCCTTGATCCGCAGTACCAGCATCCAGCATCCAAGACCACAAGGTAGCTAAGAGAGTGAGTACTTACACATTCCAGGTCTTAAAGGGTCCCCCCTTCAGCCACGCCCGGGGGGTGGGAGGGCAGGTACCTAGCAGTTACCTGCTACCTACCAGGGGTGATGCTTCAGGGGTAAAGCATAGACAACCACCCCTTCCTCTCCCCCTTTTGTCTAAGGAAGAAAGTTCTAACCTAACACAAAACCATATACAATAGGAATAATTATCAAGGAGAAATAAAGGGTATTGACATAAACAAATGGAGCTACAACCAACGAGAGCAACATCAAACAAGAGACACATACTAAAATCCAGAGAAGTCTGGAGCATAGGTAAATGCATAGAGATCATTCCAAAAGGTGTCTGCCCTGAAGAACCTGAATCTAATACTTAACATGTTCTAGCTAAGATACAAGAAGATTGTAACTGTTAGTCTTCAATCCCATCAAAGACCTGAGAAGAAATATAATATCTGAGAAACTGGGAGATGGACACAAGCACCTTTTGGGAGTCTTGCGAGAGTAGACAGAGACATTTGGCAGCTTGGACAGTCACCTAAAGTTTCTTAGCATTGTTGGTGCATTCAAATTGGCTACAGGCCTAGAGTATCTGACAGACCATGTTCAGAAGCAGGAATTTTGAAAGACCATCTTACCCTGTCTTAGATAGTAGAGTTAAGTAGTCACTTTTCCTTGTGTCTCACTCATTCAGAAAGGACAGTAGTCGTACTGTCAGCAGTCAAGGCAAGGGCAGTTCTTTGCCCAGTAGGCCATTTTGTGCCAAGCAAAAGACAAACTTCCAAACGGGAATGTCTTAGAAGCCCAACATTCTCTCAGGATCAAATCAGTGCTGCCAGGAGCAATCATGTCTCATGTCAATAGAATTCTAAGTTATTTAAATGCCATATTCTCTAGGTCTATGAAGTGTTTGAAGATTACCTGTCCATCTGGCCTATATATCTGTAAGTCTGGACAACCTAACGAATATAACTATAGAGATGACAAGCATAGGTGACTGTAAATCTGTCTTATTTACCTAAATAACCTAAGGGCTAAGGCTTTATGTGAACAAGGTAGACAGTCTGTAAGCAAATGTATAGTAAAAAGACAGTGACCTCAAAGTTGTGACAATACACAAAACAGCTTAAGCAGAGGTAGGAATGTATGCAATATGACAATAATTCTAAATATGTATCAATATAAAAATATCCTAAACAGAGGTAGAACATACATATAGTATGACAAATATAATTTTACATTTATATCAATATATAAACATTTCAAATATGAGTAGAAATATATATACATTACAACAAATATAGTTTTGTATTTGTGTCAATATACAAATGATCTTAAATAGGAATTTAAAAATAGTTTACATTTGTATCAATATACAAGTATCCATAAGAGTGCAATTTATCTAAGGCTGATATTTTGCTAAATTAGTTTACTAGTATATACAATAATCTACCTTAATATCCTATACCTATCCATTCCCTTTTCTCTTTTCCTAAGGAGAATACTGAGTCCAATATTTTCTTCTACTCCCAACCCTATAACCATTATCCATAACCCTGAGAAACATGAAACCTTTGGGAAAAGGAGCATCATTTTCTTAGAATTGCTTCTTGCTGTTTTGGGGGCAGTGTTATCTCTGTGGGGTCCTGGAAGAAAGCTCAGATAGTCAGGTCTCAGTTGGACTAACTATAGATTCTGCAGCCAGCCTTAGAGTAATGGGTAACGTTGTCTGAGATTCTGGCTAGAAATGTGATATCATGGACCATCTTATCATGGAACTAATTTGGAGATTTTTCAGTCCAAGGTTGATCATTGAATATTGTTCATGGATACTGGGTACTTGTTGTTTTGGGGCCCCATCTTCCTTCTGGAGACTTCACAGATTGCTATTTAGAAAAGACTTATTTTGCTTTCTCCCTCTCCCTCTCCCTCTCCTTCTGTCTCCCAATAAAGCTCTAGAAAGGTTAAAAAAAAAAAAGACTTATTTTTTTACTGTGGAAAAACTTGAACATTTTCAATATCAAGATGGAAAATTTTGGATTTATATTGGATAGAGAAGGGATTCTTCAAAGGCAAGGAAAAGCATAGAAAGAAATAGAGTCTAGATAACAAAGGTCCCTAAATTATTGGTTTTCTTCTGTTTCACACCAGTTGGCCCTTCTGATATGAGACAGAATCTCCTAATTTTTCTTTTAGTAATATGCTTGGGTTTAGAGAAGGAGGGAGCCAAATTCCAACTCCAAAGCCAGCTTGATTTATAATTGAATCAGGACCACAACTGTTCTCGAGTTAAAGAGATATTGATGTTAGGTAGTGAGATATTACCCTGTAGCGTATATTGGTACCAGTAGGTTATTTCCTTCTGCTGTAGACGTCTGAGTATCCAAGGCCTTATGATTTCTGAAGATGGGTGTTTCTATTATCCTGTAAAGACAGAAAACAGAACCCTGCCCCAAATCTTGTTTGTTAAATTTTTCTTACAACTTGTAGAGATGTCACATCGATAGATGAGCCTTTATTTTTTCCTCATCAAGGGGTTTCTCCTGTTTGAATCGAATTTTTGGTAGAGCATGGGACTCTTAATCCAGGGTCATGGGTTTGTGCCCCACATTGGGCGCCAGATAAAGTGGCAATTCCACGGAGTCTCTCTGATAGTCAAAAGGGATTTATTCTGAGTTAACTCACAATATGTATAAGGGAGTTGGTCACAAGATCCAGGAGGGGTGGGGCATAGTCCAACACAGTTTTCTGGAGAACTCTGCTTTGGTCCATAGTACCAGCATCCAGCATCCAAGACCACAAGGTAGCCAAGAGAGTGAGCACTTATGCATTCCAGGTCTTAAGCAGTACCCCCGCTTGGCCACATGGCGTTGGGGGGTGGGGGAATGAGGGCTGGAGGTCGGGGGGAGCGGCAGGTACCTAGCAGTTACCTGCTGCCTACTAGGGGTGGTGCTTCAGGGGTAAAGCACAGACAACCACCCCTACACATCTCTGAATTCTTTTATGGTCTCTTTCATTTTCCTAGTTTTAGAATAATTCATTTGTGGTTTTTGTCATTTGTAATTGCTGTGTCATCATATATGATCATTTAAAAAAAAGTAAAGCTTTACATTGTGGTTCTTCTTCACAGTGGCCAAGTGAACAAGTAAGGACAGTAACCTAACTTTGAAATTGACTGGGTTGTTAGTGCCTCAGGTGAAACTTTTCCTTTAACAAAGGAATTGATGAGTCCATGTACATTTCCTAAATGAGAAATAGCAATCTCATCTGAATTGCCTACATTTATTTTTGTCACCTGGCATGTTTTCTTTCAGTATTCTCTTCCACAGTTTTTTTTTTCTTTTTTTATTGTGACATTTTACTTTTATGGTAGTTTTATATTTAAGAAAAGTTAGATAATATAGAGGGTCCCCATTCATTACTGCACCCACTGTCCCCCTTTGTATTGTCTTATATCAGATTTGTCATGACTAATGAACCTCATCATTGACTTTCTGTTTTTCAGGTTTTCAGAAGTAAAATCAAAAATTGCAAGTAAGTGCAGTCTATTTATTTAGCATGTCTTTAAAAAAGGAAAAAGAAAACTCATATTAAAAAAATATAGCAACAGGTGAGAAAGTGGGAATGATACCATTGATCTATCCCATCCTAGAGTTTGAGGCCTCTTTCCTCAAAATATTTCTGGGATATTCTAGTAGTTCCTGTGTGTACTTTGATGTATCTTTCTATATTGTAAAATAATTGGGAGCATGTAGCTTTAGACTTTCTATATTTAGCTTAACTATGTATTTTTAGAAATTGTGTTCATTTACATATCTCTGAATAGGGGTTTTTCTAATGTATTGAGAAGACATGAGCATTTCAATTCCTATTTAGCTTATATGATTATAGTTTGTTTTGGGGGGGAGTGTTTTATTTTGTTTTCTTGAGATAAGGTCTCACTATATATCCCTGGCTATCCTGGAATTCACTATGTAGAACAGGTTGACCTTGAACTCACAGAAATCTATCTATATGTCTGCTTCTGCCTCCTGAGTCCTGGTGGGAATAAAGGTGTGAACCACCACACCTGGCTTATGCCAGTCTTTGGGTTGTCTTTTAAGCCATACCCATGCTTCTGGGGGAAAAATCCCTATATTTTTTAGCAGGCTTTACCTATGTTCACTGTTTGGTAAGCTATTTCTCAGAAAGCCAACTACCTGTTTTTCCAAGTCTTAGAATTCAGGACATGTATAGATATTTGGATTCCCTAGGAATATTTTTGATCACTATAAACTAGTCTAAGGTTCAAGTAGTAATTAAGAACTATAATAGCCTTGAGAATATGGTATTACATCAAGGACCACATACTATCTTAGGATAAAATTTGATATTTAATCGACTTAATCTCAGTAGAAATATCAGCATTGGTAAAGGCATTCTAGTTCTCATACTTCCTAGCTTTTGATTAAAGATTAAGGATTTTTTTTCTATATTTTGCCATCAAAGTTGACATCTGAAGGGTGTTCTTTCTTTTTCCCCTCCTTTTTCTTTCATTTAAATATATAGTCATCTTTTGGTTGAAGTAATAATTATAAATGGCTGTTATACTCTGAAGAGCTTAACTATTTTACCAGTTTGTAATTTGTGTCTTGAAATTCAGATTTGTGTATGTCAGTATAATGTATGAGCTAGTTAGTGTCAGTTTGTAATCTCATGTTTTTGTAATTCTTCCAAGAAGACAGACCCATAGCCACTATAAATTTTGCAATATTTGTAGATTGAGATGGCTGTATGTAAGTTGTATACAGATGGATGATTTCCTGTTTTTAGGTAAATACCATGATTTAGAATGCCAACTGATTCAGGAGTTTACTAGTGCCCAAAGAAGAGGGGAGATCTCCAGGATGAGGGAAGTAGCAGCAGTTTTACTTCATTTTAAGGTAAATGGTAAGATTTTAACTCAGGATCAGTCTTCAAGTTTCTGAAGATTTTATATTTTATGTCTCTTCATTTCCTCTAACTATTGTATAACTATATGACAGAATAATTTGGATTGATTTTTGTTAATTGTTACTTAATATTCAGTGATTTTTCTGGTAATATTGATGCTATAACAAGCAATTTATATAGTTAGAGAAAGAAAATCATGTCATCAGCCTTCTTGCTTATAGTACATCGTTTTCAATCAAAAATATTTGTAAATAAGTAAAAAGTGGGAAAACCTGAATGTAAACATCTGGTGGAAGATATGAACCAAAGAGTAGATTCACTGTAGCTAGAAATAGGGGCCTGAGAGATCTCGGGTGCTGAAGACAAATGTGTGGGTCATGGAGCTATCTTCCTGGAACCTGAGCTGGAGAGGAAAACCTCATTTGAAAAACCCTATTAATTTAATCAAAGAAGATAGGATAAGATACCCATGTTAAGTTACTGGATGGTTCGATACCTCTAATTTTATTTAAGTATGATGACTGTTGATCATTCACTGGGATACAAGATATAGTTTTATTACATGTAACACTTTGTTGAGATTGTTATTATAATTAGAACCAGACAATAACATTGTTTCTTCTTTATAGGGTTATTCTCATTGTATTGATGTTTATATAAAGCAGTGCCAGGAGGTAACTTTACAGTATACTTTTGAATTTTATTTTATACTAATTTGTATTTTGAAGCCATTTATAAGTAATATATTAACAATGTAAAATACCTCTGGCATTTAGGGTGCTTACTTGAGAAATGATATATTTGAAGATGCAGCAATACTCTGTCAGCGAGTGAACAAGCAAGTTGGAGATATCTTTAGTAATCCAGAAGCAGTACTGGCTAAACTTATTCAGAATGTGTTTGAAATCAAACTACAGGTAACTTCAAACAGTAATGAATTAAATAGTTAGGGCAATGTGTTATTGGTTTTTTTCTACAAGATTTTTCAAATTTATTTTCATTATTTTTAATTATGTGTGCACATGTGCACGTGTGTATGTGTGTGTGTGTGTGTGTCTGTATTCATGCGTATGAGTGCAGGTACCCACAGAAGCTAGAGGTGTTGGATTCCCCCTGGAGCTGGAGTTATTAGTAGTTATGAGTCACCTGATGTGGGTGCTGGGAATTGAACTCAGAACCTTTGAAAGATTTTTTTTAATTGTTTATTTATTTTTTTGGTTAGCGTTTCAAGAAATGGGTGTCATTATAGCAACTTCGTATGTTCTTCTTTTTTCTTTGCTGCTTCCCTGCCCTGTCCCCCTCCTCCTCCAGGAAGTCCCTTTGTTTCCTCATGGAAGTCCCCTTCCGCTTTCACCCTCTTATCTCTTACCTCCTTAAGATCTCTTCCTACCTCTAGCCCCCTTTCTGGTTTACCTACGACATACTCATAGAATTTTAAATCTAGGTTTCAAAGACAAGAAAGAATGTGGTATTTGTGTTTTTATGTTTTGTTTATTTAACATAATGATCTTGAGAAGTTATATAATTTAATATTTCCTTAACAGAATGTTACTTTAATTTTTAGAGTTTTGTGAAAGATCAGTTAGAAGAATGTAGGAAATCGGATGCTGAGCAGTATCTCAAAAGTCTCTATGATCTGTATACCAGGTATGTGGAGACAGGGCTAGCCTGGAACTCACTGTGAAGACCAGGCTGACCTCAAGTTCACCAAGGTCTAGCTGCCTCTCCTCGTGAATGCTAGCTTTCACGGCATTTGTGACCATGCCTTGCTGTGGTCTGTTGTTACTTATTAGACGATAACAATACATTTCATATTCTCTCTCTCTCTTTTAATAGAAAATGGGAAGTATTCAGTACTTTATCAGATAGCAGCATCCTGTTTTGCATTAAATTCTTGCCTGTATAGACTGGAGTTACAAAAGAGCAGAATTCTTACTGTACTAGCAAAAGACCTTGTTTAAACTGACTTAAGAATTTTATTTGTTATTTGTGAGCTAGTTTTTGTGTTTTTGTTGTTCTTAAGAATTAGTGCAGTTACATTTATCCGAAGTCCCTTTGTTTTGGGAGAAAGTTCATCCTGACAACAGCAGCGACACTCTCTTCAACAGTGTGAAATAAAAACTTAGAGGTCAGTCCACATGGACAGAGACAGAAATGGTGAAGAGACAGTAAAGCTCTCAGAATCATGTGGGTGCCTTATGGTAGAAGGCTTTAGAACATACCTTAGGCTACTCTCCATTTTTGCTCTTTCTGTTAGTCATTGCTTCACAGCCTTTTTTCTAGGTTATCTCTACCACTTTATGTCAGTTTTCAAAACTAAAATATTATTTGTAATATTTTTTTCTCTTCCATATATAACTTTATAAGTTGCTCTCTAAATCCTAAGTAGTCTCCCAACATTTAAGAAATGATTGTTTGATATAAATCATTAAAGTCCTATTATGAATATATAGGATCTTTGATCTTGCTGCTGTATCTAAAATATATATTAATCTTTTCTCTCTTTTCCATGACAAGAACCACCAGTCTTTCAAGCAAACTGATGGAGTTTAACTTAGGTACTGATAAACAGACTTTCTTGTCTAAGCTTATCAAGTCCATTTTCATTTCCTATTTGGAGAACTATATTGAAGTGGAGATTGGATACCTGAAAAGCAGAAGTGCTATGATCCTCCAGCGCTATTATGATTCAAAAAACCACCAAAAGAGATCCATTGGCACAGGAGGGTAAGTTTCTAAAAATTAAATATAGTTAACATTAAAAACATTAAGAACATTAAGTTTGGGCAAAGTTAGTAAATGTTACCTGTCATTAAGATTTTCTATGAACAGCTCTTCATACTGTATGTGCTATTGACCAAATCCTGCTTTCAAATGACACACTGAAATGACCTAAACTAGCATGATTAAAATGTAAATCATATACTTCTCAATCAAATATAAAAATATAAAGATAATACTAGTAATATAAAGAATTCTGTAGCTTAAGTTTCTTTCTAGTGTTAATTATTCTGGGTTATTAACTATGAATCACATCATTCATTATTGAAACTGTAAAGAACAGAGCAAATATTTTACATTTTAGGCAGCCCTGAATTGATAAGCTTTTTTGGTCATTTGTACATAAAACTATTAGATTTATACTTTAAAGTCTGAGATAATTTGCATATGAGAAGAAGAGAATTTGCTGTAAAGTTGATGACGTTTAGTTGCTCAGATCATTCCCAGACGGGACCTAGCAGATGCTGCAAGGCGGACCAACTCCTATTGGTGTCTTGCAGACTTGTACACTTGTACACCCAGACTGCTCTTGTTATGATTGCAGGTTATAATAATAAACAAAGATAATGTCTGAATGGCTTTAGTCAAGGAATGGAAATCTTGGGCTGGCAACATGGCTCAGCTGGTAAAAGTGCTTCTGATGTGAGCCTTAATAACCCAAGTTCCATCCTCAGAATCCATGGTAGGAAAACTGGCTCCTCAAAACTCCCTTCTGACCCGTGTGCACCTGTACAAATGCATTCACACATACCTAATAAATTTTAAAAAGAAAAGTTCTTGAGATGTTTTCATGCTAAATCAAAATCTTTTTATTTCAAAAAAGAAAAACCTAAAGAGTAATCATAAGACTTCAAAAAATGAGTTCATAATAGCCTGAGCTATATATTCTAGTAGCAAAAGTAGTTTAACCTAGAGATGTCAACATAATAAATGTTCTAAGTGATCCCTAGTCACTAAGAAAAGCTCAGTTGTACTTAATAGATCTAGTTTAATATAGTGAAGACATGAGCCATATATTTAAATGGTTGTGTTTTAAAAAGAAGCACTAAAATTTTTAAATTTTCTTTGTGTGTAAGACTACTTTTAGTTATTTGTTACTTAGAATAGCTTCTTGAGTTGAAATTCCAAAGCTGTAAAATGTCTTTAAAGACCATAACTTTAGAGACTGGAGACATGGCTCAATGAGTAAGAGCATTTGCTATTCAATCATAATGACATGAGTTCAAATCCTTAGCACCTATATAAAAAGCCAGATGTAGCCATATACACAACTATATTGTCAGCACTGGGTGGAACGAGCAGGCAGGAGGACCCTTAGGGTTTACTGATTGTTAGCCCAGCTTCAGATGCAACAAGAGACCCTTCTTAAGGGAATAGGGTGAACAGTGATTAAGGTCGGACTTCTGACATCTTCATCTGGCTTCTTTGTCAGCAAACAGGTGCTTGCACCCAGACACACTTGTGCACATACACTCCAAAGCTATCCTTTTTTGATAAAAGTGATTAAAAATGAGTTTTTGTAATTAGCATTTCAGTCTCTTGTTTATTGGCTTATTTTGTTTTTTTTAATATGCATTAAAGTTGAGAGTATTTGCAGTTAAAACCTAAATATAGTAAACTTCTTTTTTCATTTGTCTTTTTGATGTACTAGTATTCAAGATTTGAAAGAAAGGATTAGACAACGTACCAACTTACCACTGGGGCCAAGTATTGATACGCATGGGGAAACTTTCCTATCTCAAGAAGTGGTAGTTAATCTTTTACAAGAAACCAAACAAGCCTTTGAAAGATGTCATAGGGTAAGAATAATAAATTGATTTTTTTAAGCTATAGTTGTGTATTTTAAGTTTTGCCTCATTTATAGAAAGATATAAATGTACTTCCTCATTAGGACCAATTAATTTTTAGTATTAATTTTTAATTGACACAGTTTATACAAATTGCATGTACTTGTAGGTACCATGTGAAGTTTTGATAAAAGTGTAATTTGAGTAATATTCAAACCAGGATGAGCATATGTATCCTCAAACATTCATCATTTCTTTGTGGAAAGGCATTCAAAATCTATTCTAGCATTTGAAAATATAGAGTACATTGTTAATCTGTTGTCATCCTACTGGTGCAGTAGAATACCAAATTATTTCTCTTCCCTATTGACCAGCCTTTTCTCATCACTCTCTACCTCTTTCCAGTCTCTCCTCAGCTGCTAGTGACCATATTCTACTCTTAATGTCTATGAAATCCCTTGTTTGGTTTTGGTCTATGAGTGAGATCAGGCAGTATTTGGTAGTGATAAATATTCTTAGTGTTTGTTTGGAAATGTCTCTTACCTCTCATCATGTCTCCAGGCTAGTTTTGCTGGGTATAGTATTCCTGTTGGTTAGCTTTGCTGGGTGTAATATTCCTGTTGGCAGGCTTTTGTTTTTAGGTTTTTGTTTTGCTTTGTTTATCTTCTTTCTTCCTTCTTCAATATGTGAATATCTCATCTCAGTCTCTTCTGGATGTTAAAGTTCTGTAATTTTCCAGTTGAGTGATGAGTGACTGAGTGGAATTAAAAAAAAAGACTCCGATACATACTACTGGAAGGCAACAAAAAAGCCAAATTTCACCTCTAAGGACAGGTGTACACTATTGATCCCTTTACATGTACATGTTATTTGTTCCCTTTTTTTCTCGTTTCTTTCAGAATCTTATCTTTAACCTTTGACTTGGTTACAATGGATCTTGAAGTATAAACTCTCCATTCTTACTTTCCTGTCCTTCTTGAACCCTAGTAGCCCCAAAATGTTCTCTTTTAATGCTTTCCTGTAGTTCCTACAATCTTTAGATATTCTTACTCCTTTTTTCTTTTCCTTATATGTATACTTAAAATAGTCTGGTTTGGGAGATAGCTGATCCTTCTTGTTTCTGCCATTGATGCTTCTATTACATTTTTCATTCTACTTACCATGCTTTTAGCTCCAGGATGTTTTGGTTTTATAAATTATTTCAACTTTCTTTGGCAAATTGCAGAATTATTTGCATATATTTTCTTGAGGTTCCTAGAATTTCTTTGAAACATTTACTTTGAGTTTTTCGTCATGAGAGATCACACACTTTGCATGGTTCTGGTGCCTTACTTTGTTCATTTTGGGGACCCTGAAACCTCTGGGTGCTTGTTGGCCTGCAACAGTGTCTGCATATTGGATGCTTAGATGTTTATTACCATCATAGTAACCTGCCCTTGTTTTGTTTTATACTCATTGTTCCACAATAATCTGTTTATTATTTTCACCAAGACCTTGGTCACTGTTCTTGTTTTAGCACTAGATGGCACCCCGAGTCTAGATTTTTGCCAACTCTGTGGTTCTCTTGCTGTCATTATTTCAACACTAGAGAGTGCCTTCAGCCTGAGTCTGTCACAAATCTACAGTCTTCCTATAAAGCTGACATTGGCTTGATAGCAGGAAAGACCTAGTCATTAGGAGCTCCGTAGAAAGGTAGATAATGCTGTTTATGCATCTTTCTACTGAGAGCCAAGGTAGGCCCAAAAGCTGTTTCTACAGTTATTGACCTGAGTTCAGCACTTCAAGGTTCTTGCCCAGCACTCCGCAGCCTTGCTATGGGAGGTCTGGTTTATACCTCCGGAGAAATGATTTGCATCCATCTGTCTTCTTTTTCCAAATGAAGTTACTCTGTCTTTGCTGTCACTGATACCGTAATACTTGGTCTTACCCAGAGCTCATAGTCCATCAGAATGAGCGCAGCACAGAGAAAGGACAAAGGTCCACACTGTTGTCGTCTGCCCAGAACTGTGGTCTGTTTGTGGCCTGAGACCTCTGCAGGTCTGGGGGTGCTGTGGCTGGCCTGCTCAGACTGTAGCTTCCACCTGGTACTAGGACAGGTTTAAAGGTTCCATCTGTGGGCTAGGCTCAAGAGAGGGGCTCTTGTGTTCTATCTTGTGTTAACTTTTACCATGGAAGGCCTGGCATTCAGTTCTGAGGAAAACTGTGTGCTTAGTTTCCTGTCCTTCCTTTAGCAGATGAAGTCTTTTACACATTGTGTTGTTCAGGTCTTGAGTAGCATGGTAAAAACAATCTCTTGGTTGCCATGACTCATCCTAAGCTGACCTGTGACTGAGACTTGTGGCTGAAGGACCTGGGATTGTCCTAGAGGTTTACTCAAGGCCCAAGCTGCAGCTGATAGTGGTGTGCCTGAGCACAAGTCTGTCTTGTTGCACATTTCTGCTTAGCACTGAGGCCAGTCCAGAGGCTCCATCCATAGACATTGGCTTGGGGCAGTAGTAGTAAGACTTTGCCTGTTACTGTATTTTATATAACATGTTTTAGTAGCTAATCTAGATACTTCAAGTATTATATATTAATTCATTTAATCATCATAAAGACCCAGTGAGATGATTCTTACACTTTTATAGTGAAAACCATAGCTCTTAAATACTGGAATTAAGAACTATGGAAAATTTAGTATTTTACTTACATGCATATATATCATTTATGCATTTTGAATGTCAATAAATTAATATACAAATTGGTAGGAATATTCAAAGAATATATATATATAACAGTATAAATTACATATTAATAGGAAAATAAAATAGGAATGATGCCATTTAATTTTTATTAAGGTGGCATAAATTAAGAACTATGATATTGTTATGTGTTGGTAACAAAGTGAGGTAAAAAACACTTTCATATACTACCAATGACTTTGAAAATTGTTACAGTGAAGACTGGGACTGCAGCTCAGTGTTAGAGTGTCTAGCATGTGAGACTCTAGGTTCAATCCTTAGTAATGCTGAGGGTTGGGGGGAATTGCAGTAGTTACTTGGAAGAATAATTTGTCAGGTTTTTAAAAATTCTTATTTGCATGTGGTAATCTAATTACAGCATTCTTTATTATGACAAAACAAAACAAAACCTAGAAGTAAGCACATGAAAAAGAGAGAACTAATGGCATTGTTTACACACTAGAAAACTATACCAATTTAAACGAATCAGCTAGAATTACACCAATCAGCATGAATTAATCTCAAAAATACTTGGCAGTGGTGTGGTCATAGGGTATTTCTTCTTAAGAAACAACTAGACTAGTAGAATGTGCAGTGCTAGCTTAGGCTTTTTTTTTCTGTCCTTTTTTTTTTTTTTTTTTTTTGAGACAGGGTTTCTCTGTGTAGTTTCGGTGCCTGTCCTGGATCTCACTCTGTAGCCCAGGCTGGCCTCGAACACACAGAGATCCTCTTGGCTCTGCCTCCTGAGTGCTGGGATTAGAGGCATTAGCTTCACACTGGGCATCTTTTCATGTGTTTGTCATCCGGACATCCTCTTTAATGAAGTGTTTCATTCATCTTTAGTGCATTTTTAAAGTCGGGTTATCTTTTGAACACTTTTTAAATTCTGTAATCTGGTTATAGTTTGTATCAGATATATGATTTTGCAATTTAATATTTCAAAGTATAGAAGTTCTTAATTTAGATAAAATGCATTTTAACACATCTGTTGTGAATGGTACTTTTTTGTATTGCAGGTACATCTTTGTGGAACTAAGAGTTACAGGAATTGCCTTTTAGATTTTCTAGTAGTTTTATAATCTGCAGTTTTACTTATCAAGCCTATAGTCAGCTCTGGATTAATTTAGGAATTTCATATAATCATGTATGGATTGAAGTTTATATTTTTTGTAATTAGGTTTCCATTTATTTTTGCCATCATTTATTGAAGACTTCTTTCTCCAAAAAATTACTTTCTACTTTGGTTGAAATCAATTGTCTGCTTATTTATGGTTTGTTTTAATCTCTATTCTGTACCGTATATCTTTCATGCCAATATCATGCTGTTTTAACTGTAATGGCACAGGAGGCCTTGAGTCAGGGAGTATGTCTTTTGACATTTCCATATAGACCATTTTGTATTTAATATATGTCTAATAGCTTATTAATTTCTATCATGGAAAAGTCTGGTTTTGATTGAAATGACAGTGAATCTTTGATTCTATTTGGGAAGAATTGATATTTTTTTTTTTTTGTTTTTTTGTTTTTTTGTGTTTTTTTTGTTTTTTTTTGTTTTTTTTTTTGTTTTTTTTTTGTTTTTTTTTTTGTTTTTTTTTTGTTTTTGTTTTTTTTTTGTTTGTTTGTTTTTTGATATGTTTTTTATTATTATAATACAAAAGCATTTTCAATTTGACAGGCCTATAATCCCAGCACAAGGGAGACTGAGGCTGAAGGATTCTATGAGTTCAAGGCCAGTCAGGCTACATTGTGAGTTATAGGCTAGCTTGGGCTACAAAGTGAAACCTTGTCTCAAAAAAACCAAAAAATTAAATGTAATTTTTAAACTTATTTAATTTCTAGTTTAACTTGGTATGTTGAAGTGTGTAGTTGGGTCTTTACATGTTAAGTTTACTATTCTATAATCTTTTTTGTAGAATTTGTTAGACCTTCTACATAGACTTATGTTATTTTACCATTAAGAAAGCTTTACTGACTCCTTTCCATATAGATGCCTTTTGTTGTTGTTGTTGTTGTTGTTCTTGTGCCTTGTTGCTCTGGCTAGACTTCCAGTACAGTGTGGAATGGAAATACGTGCAGAGAACAAACACTTGTTATTACACCTGGCCATTGGAGTACATCATTTAGTCTTTGACCACTAAATGTGATGGGGTCTGTAGGTTTTTCATGAATACTATCTTTTTTTTTTTTTTTTGGTTTTTCGAGACAGGGTTTCTCTGTGTAGCTTTGCGCCTTTCCTGGAACTCACTTGGTAGTCCAGGCTGGCCTCGAACTCACAGAGATCCGCCTGGCTCTGCCTCCCGAGTGCTGGGATTAAAGGCGTGCGCCACCACCGCCCGGCCGAATACTATCTTTTAACTTGAGGAAAGTCTTTTTTTTTTTTTTTCATTTATTTATTTTTATTGTATGAGCATTGATTGGTGTTTGCCTTCATGTATATCTGTGTGAGGATGTCAGATCCTCTGGAACTAGAGTTATAGACAGTTGTAAGCTGCTGTCTGGGGGCTGGGAATTGAACTTGAGTCCTCTGGAAAAGCAGCACACATTCTTAATTGCTGAACTATTTCTCCAGCAAGATATGTATACTGGTTTATTAAAGTGACATATTAAGTTTAAGTATTATTAGATCCCAGTACTTGGGAAGTAGAGGTGGGAGATCTTGAGTTCAGGGTTATCATTGGCTGCATGATGAGTTTGACTGAAGCCAGCCTTGGCCACAGGAGACTGTATCACACAGATAAACAAAGAAATGAAATAAAAGATTTTTTGTTACATTTTGTTAAATGTTTTCTTTTTTTCTTTTGGGAGAATCATGTTAACCGTGCATTCCTTTAATAAATCCCGGTTGGTCATCACTGGCCATTTTCTTATTGTCCTAGTTATACATTGTTGGATAGGGTTGCCAAATTAAAAAAACAAAACAAAAAACCAGAAACATAACTTTTTTTTGTTGTTTTTAACTGCCTTTGTTTATTGTGTCAGGGCACACATTTTGGAGGTCAGAGGAAAACTTAAGGAAGTGGGTTCTCTGTCTACAAAGTAGGTTCCAGGAATTGAATTCACGTTATCAGGCTTGGCAGCAAACTACTCTCCGAGCCATCTTGCTGGCCCATATGCACTAAATTTTGTCAAGAATTTTTGCATCAGTGTTTTTGAAGGATATTGGCCCTTAGTGTCTTTGTCTTGTTTTAATAATGAAGGTAATGCTGTACCCATAGGATGATATGCTAAGTACTTCTGCCTCCCTTTCCAATTGTTTGTGGGTTTAGATGATGGTCTTTCTGTCTTAAACGTTTGTCATAACTCGCAAGGAAAGTTACTTGGGCCTGTGGTTTTTCTTTGTAAGGATTTTTAACTAAAAATTCAGCCAACTTAATGTTTGCAGAAATACTCAGGTAATATAATTTTAAGTGAGTTTTGGCAGTTTTGTTTGTTTTTAAGACAGGGTCTTACTATGTAGACCACCAGGCTGACCTCAACTCACAGAGATTCATCCACCTGCTTCTCCCTCTCAGTTACTGGGATTAAAGGTGTACTACACCAATGCATCAGCCTATTTGTATCTTTTAAAGACTTTCATTTATCACCAAAATTGTATTGTTGGGATAAAATTATTCATGACCTTTTTCTTACTGTCTTACAACTTTTTGTAGAAACTGTTGTAATAATTGCCTATTTTATTCCCAACATCAGTAATTTGTTTCCCAAATTTTTTTCCAAACAAATCTTGATAAAGGTATATTATTTTTACCGATTTTCCCCCAAGAACCACTTTTTGGTTTCATTAATTTCTTTTTCTTTCTTTCTTTCTCTCTGTCTCTGTCTCTCTCCTTAAATATCTCTGATTTCTGTTCTTTCTGTTCTTGTTTTGTTTGTTTGTTTGTTTTTTCAAGACAGACCTGCTCTGTGTAGCCCTGTGTGTCCTGGAACTCACTCTGTAGCCCAGGCTGGCCTCAAACTCAGAGATCCACCTGCCTCTGCCTCCCGAGTGCTGGGATTAAAGGTGTGCACCACCACTGCTCTGATTTCTGTTCTTTATTGTTTCCTTCCTTCAACGTAGGCGCTATATGCCCCTTTCCTAGTTGTTTTTTGTCTTGGTTTTTTTTTTTTTTTTAATGTAAAAGCTGAGTTTGTTGACCTTTTCCAGTGTGTGCATTTACTTACCTTATTCTCAAGTACTGCATTCGCTGAAGCTAAGTTTTTTAGTATTTTAATTCATTTCAAAATACTCTTTAATTTCTCTTTGATTTTTTTTTTTCTTGCCCTAGAGTGATTGTGAAGTTGTATTATTTGGATTTTAGATTTTATACCATTGTAGTTAGTGGGCAAACTGTGCATTATGATGTCAATCCTTTTTAAATTTATTGAGATGCAATGTACAGCCCATATTGATGGTTTTCTGTATACATGAGAGAATGTGTATCTTCACATTGTTGGCTGAGTATTCTATAAATGTCAGATCTTATTCGTTGATGTCTTCTTTAATTTTTTTTATCCGTTTTCTGTTTATTCTATATGTTATGCATGGATTTGGGGCTATAAGCAGGAGAAAGGTGAGAACTTAGGCTTAGTTTTTATGATTTGTGATGGAGGTAAGGGCACCTATTGAGCATCAGAATCAAAAGAAAAGGAGTAGAGAGATTGGTAAGAGTGAAAGGTTGGCGTAGCAATTAAGAAGTCTAATACCAAATGGGGATGTTGAATCACTGGGGTTTTAAAGTGGTTTATGGAATTCTTTATAAACTCAATTATATGTCAGGCTCTCATTATTACATTAGGGTTGAGTGTCCTTGATTTGAAAATACAGAATCTTTTACACTCCAAAATATAAAATTCTTGATCACTAATATGGTGGCACATTGGAAAGTTCTACTCATGGCCGTAAGGTTAAGTTTTAGTAAAAAATACTATATTAAGTTGTCCTTGGACTGTTTATATAAGGAATTTATAAAACAAATGAATTTTATGATTAGACTTGAGTCTCTTAAGATATCTCATTATTTCAAAATATTTCAAAATCCAGGAAGTCCAAAATCTCTAGCAGTTCTAGGCCTAACTCTTTTGCATAAGGAATTCTCACCTGTAGCATTACCCTGAAAGTCATGTGAATAGATACTGTAAGTAGCTTTGACAGAGGCAGAAAGCAGTTTATAATTAATGGAAAGCAGTTCAAAGAAGTTGAGAATAATTTCCTTTTAAGAACAATTCATTTTTCTCAATGTAACTACTAATAATTCTTTAGTCTAGCAGCAGCAACATCAAAGTGAAAATTGTGAGCTTAGTGCAAATCAAGTTCTGTGTTACAAACACTTTGCAATTTTCCTATTTTATTCGAACCTTAAGACTAAAGTGAAATACTGTCAATGTTAGACCATCTTATAAATGAAGAAAATGAGATTTAGGGAAGCTCAGTAACGTTCTAAAGTCTTGCTCCACCAGATGTGATGAGTTAAAATTTGATTTGTTATATTTTACTATGAATATTAATTGATTGCATCTCCTGATTCCATGAGAATCTTTACAGTTTTGTTTTGAGTTTTACTAGAACAACCCTCTTTGTTAGTGGCTCTCAAACTTCTTTGACTGTGATCACCATAGTTAAAAATGTGTCTCACATGGAAGCAGAGTATGTACACGTGTGTGTGTGTGTGTGTGTCTGTCTGTCTGACTGTGTCTCGTGAAAGTATAATTGGATTTCACTCATGGATTACATACAATCTAGATTTGAAAAAACACTGCTCTAGATCAGGAGAGTTACAGACCAATCCAGAGCATTATAACTGTTTTGTGGACAGTGAGAGGGGAACACTGACATTTTGTTACCTGAAATAGTGTTCTACACAAAAAGGATTGCTTTATTAAGAGTTGACTTTTTAAAAATATAGATTTGAAGAGTAATACTGTTTTTGCTTGTTTTTAAAGCTTTCTGATCCTTCTGATTTACCAAGGAATGCCTTTAGAATTTTTACCATTCTTGTGGAATTTTTATGTATTGAGCATATTGATTATGCTTTAGAAACGGGGCTTGCTGGTAAGTATACTTATACTATACTTTTTTTTTAACCGCCTTTGGTCCTGTTTGGTTGATCAGTACTCTTAATGCTGTTTTGTATATGACTTCTATGTGATAAATTCAGTTCAGTACAATGTATTTAGAGCTTATGTAATACTAGGATGTGTGAGGTGCTGGAAACTAAACATAGGCATAATTCTCTCATATTGTTTACATCCAGTAGAGTAAGGCCATAGACTACAAAACTCAGCACAATATATTGGCAGAATTTATAACAATGCTCTATGCTATAAAATGTCAAGAAGCATACATAGAGATAAGAATAATTCTGCTTAGGAATTAAGTAATGAAATTTAGAGAGAAAATATTCAAAAATAAATTTGCAAAGGAATAAATTTATATTAAATTTTTTGGCCTCGTTCTTTTGGGTTTACTACCTGACCCCGTGACCTGTTAAGTGAGTATCTCAGATTTAACATTTCAAAAATGAAACTCTTCAGCTAGGCATGGTGGTTCACGCCTGCAATCCCAGCATGCAGGAGGCCAAGGCAGAGGTCATTATTAGTTTGAGGTCAGCCTAGACTATATAATGATTTCTGAATAACCTAAAATAACAAAGCAAACTAATTGTCTTCCTCCAACACTGTTCTCCCGAGATTTTAAGGAAGTAGTTATTTACCAAACCCAGAAAGTGCTCAACCTTCCTGTTTTCATTGCTGATAGCTAGTTCATCAGCAAATCCTGTCAGTATACATCCAAATATAGCTTGTTTATCTACTTTGCTTCATCTACTGATGTAACCCCACCTTAAACATTGTCATCTCCTAACTGGTTCCTGTGTCCATTCTTGCCTTCCTAAGTTACTGGGTAATAGCCAGCTTAATTCTTACTTTCTTGTTGAAGACTCCTTAGTGGTTTTACTCTTGAGGGGAATAAAAACAACTGCTTAGAACAACGCGATCTGTGGTGTGCTTCTTCCACGTGTTCCTCACTGTGCTTCATTTGCCTTGGCTCTTTACACTTATCTTTTAACCTGACCTCAACTAAGATGTCACCTTTTCAGAGACACTTGTGCTGATCACCTCACATGAAGTAGTGCTCCTGTTGCAGCGTAGTTATCCATTATTCATTATTGAATTTACTTTTTATACTAATACCACAATGACATTTCTATTTGTTAGTGTCTGTCTCCTGTCAGTATTCATTCATTTAGCACGTATTTTTTACGTGCCTAATCATGGGTTCATATTCCTGTAAAAATAACAGACAACTTATTAGGAAGTACGGTAAAATCAAAATTGGGTAAAGGGTAGAGAATACTATTGGGGAAGCAGAGTGAAGGGTTTACAGGCAGAAATTCTTTTTCTTTTACATTATTTATTATTTACTTTGTGTGTGTTCACACATGTAGAAGTCAGAGGACAACTTGCAGGAGTTGGTTCTCTCTTTCCACCATATTTGTTCCAGGGATCGAACTCATGTGGTCAGGCTTGGCAGCAAGTACCTTTACCCACTGAGCCATCTCGCCAGCCCCCCCAAAAGCTTTTTATGAAAGGGTAGTCAGAGAAGGCCTCTGAGAAGACACATGAATCAGAGAGCTCATTAAAGTGGTGAGTAAACTAAATATTTGGAGTAAAACTATTGTAGAGACAACAGCTTATAAGTTCTTAAGGGTTGGAATCTCAATTTGTTCAGTATCCCTACCCCCAGCATTATACTGTGGCATGTAGAAAACATTTACAGTTCAAAAGGTCTCTTTTTGCCTGTGTAGAACACCATCCTAGAAACCTTTAGTAATGAACCAAATTTAGCCATAAATCAGTCACTTTGGCATAACTCCAGTTTATTACCTTCATAAGCAACAATGTAACAGTGTATTTTAACTTAATTATAGCAAACTATTGACATCAAATATTTAACCCATGCTGGCAGTAAATGACTTAGTGTGGTCATTTGTATTGAAATGATTTAAATCTTCAAAAATGTGGTAACTACAGAAGATATTAAATAAGAATAAGGACCAGCAAACGGCCCAGCAGTAAAATTGCTTGCTGCCAAGCCTGACAACCTGAGTTCAGTACCACGGTGGAAGGAGAGAACTGACTCCTGAGTGTTATCTTCTGACTAATACACACATCTCCCACACACACACTCAAAGAACTTGTTTATTAAAAAAGATGATAAAGTAATGTGAATTTAAATCTGATATGAAGGATTTATTGTTTATCTAGTATGGAAACCTTCCTATTCATTTTACTAGCAGTATTCTGAACTTGGAAATGTTTAGGAAAATTTCATTTGGATGGAGAATATTCCTCATATAGTTAGTATTCTTGGTCATTGTTTTTAATGATTACATAAAATTCAGCCAGGTGATAAGAAATAATACTGGAGTAGCACTGTAGAGTTTACTCTTTTTAGGTAAAATCCCAAGTCAAAGCATATTATGTATACATATTTTAAAATAATTTTCATTACTTAAATCTTTAATTTAAAACTTATTTTAAATTATTTATTATTTATTTTAAATTAATTTACCATTTTTCCTGAGAGGCTTGTTCCCTACAATTTCTGCTGCTTCTAGCTTATATATGTATATCAGTTTTTATATATGCTACTAAATATTCTTCAAATTTTTTTATATTTATTGGTTAAAAACATTCATGACTACTGTCTTAATTTCCATGTTTTATTGTGATTAGTGTTTTCTACATGTGCTTCAGTTTATTATGTTTGTGTTGGCACCTTTAATTTTCCTACCACCTGATTGTTTCTTTTGTACAAAACACCACCCTTGTTTTCCAATTGTAAAGTTGAAGAATCATCATATAAAGAACTCTAGTTTGTAAGGTTATATATTATCATTAGCTGTCTTAACTGGATAGAAACACAGGCAACTAGAGCTAAAAAGAACAAGGAACCTTGAGTCCATGAGTTACTCTTTATGAAAGGAGGAGAAAGATCCAGGGGGTTTCAGTTCCACCTTTTGGTGTCACAATGTGGTTGATGACCACATAGAATAGTAGGAGATGTTGAAGAAACACGTCTCTGAGGTGATGAGATTTTGGATATTTTTGAGGACAGAGTAGAGACCATGATGAGTGCAGTGTGTCAATGACAGGAGTCTATGTAGAGTAGAGGGTAAAAACTGAAGTAGAAGACCACAAGGAAAGCATTTAACTGGCAGAGGGAGGGAGGCCTGTTAGAAGGAAGATGGTTGGATGTATTCATGAGACATGGCTGGAGGTTTGGGGAAAGAAGAAGGTAGAGCCCAGGCACTTCATTGATTCATTTCCGTTTATCTAAATGAACCATGAGGATGATTAACTTTGGGTTATAAAAATAGCTTTGGATGAATTTTGTTAAGCTGTTTAACAAAATCTCTGTAGAACCCTTGCTGATTTATTAAATGTCAGTTACTTTTATTCGTGTGGTATATATAAAATCATTCTTTTGCCCAGTGTTTTTCAAGGTTGCTTCTCACTTATCTGTGCCTTCCAATTTTAGGAATTCCATCATCAGATTCTAGGAATGCAAATCTCTATTTTTTGGATGTTGTACAACAGGCCAATACTATTTTTCATCTTTTTGACAAACAGTTTAATGATCACCTTATGCCACTAATAAGGTTAGTTGCATTGTCATATTTTCATTGGTATTTTAATGAGTATTATATTTTTATTATTTTTTAAATAATACATGTTCATGAAAACATCAAATAGGACAGGAGGTTTGAAATAAGTCTTTTCTTCTTTCCTTGAATTCCTTGAATTCTTGTTTTCTCTTCCCACTGTGCTGTTAATTTGATATATTTGAAAAGTTTTTAACTATCATTACCAAAATTGGAAATCTAACATGAAAAAGGCCTTCCAGCCTAGTGCAGCTAGGTACCAGGCATGGTGGTGCACACCTGTAATCTTAGCTACTCAGGAGGCTGAGGCAGGAGGATCTCAAGTTTGAGGCAGTCTAGTCAACATAATGACTTCAAAGTCAGCTTGGACAACCAAGACCCAGTCTCAAAAGATAGTTTTTTGTTTGTTTGTTTTTGTTTTTTGTTTTCTTTTTTCTCTTTTTTCCCTAAGGGCTGAGGATAGGAGGGGTATTTAGGGGAGTTTTCGGGGAATAAAGGGACTAGAGAAATTATGTAATTATGTTATACTATCAAAAAGAAAATTAAAAAGTTCTTTTTTCAAGTTAAGGATGTAGCTCAGTGGTAGATCTTGCTTTAGTATCTGCAAGATCCTGGGCTCACTCCCAAGTAACACACACACACACACACACACACACACACACCCCAATAGACACAATACACTTGTTATAAAGACATGCAAGAAATGTGAATGAACAAATTTTAATAAAGCATCAAGATTTGGTTCATATCTTCATATCAATTTATATGAACTTCTAAAGCATTTGAAAATTAAATGGAGTAATATGTAATGTTACATGTTGCTAAAGTTGTCTCATTAGCACTAGTATCTGTGCAGGAAATGTTCAGATAAATGATAGAGTTTGATAGTTTTGTTTTGTTTTTTAAACAGTGCTATGACATGTCTAGACTAGAAACAAGCTCAGAGATCATTTGTGATTCCTGAATCATACTTGGAAAGGAAATGTACTCTTTCGCTGTGTAACCCAGGCAGGTATTACAGACATGAGCCACCAAGCCCAGCTTAGGAAGTTTTCTTGATTTACTTTGCAAAGAGCTGTTATGTCACATAACAGAGAATTCACAGGTGTTGTAGTGTTGTATATTCCCTAATATTTTAATAGAATTGAGAAGCTGACAATTATTATTAGGTTTCGTGTCTTTTTAGTTAAAAAAGCTAAATGAAACTGGATTTACTTACTACTGTCCACATTTTTATTGGTAGGATTAATTATATTCTTAAGAGTTTGGTGATGTCTGTGACTTTTCTTACTATTACACTAGATATTTAGATACAGAGGAAACTAGTTTCAAAATTTCAAAGCTACATGGTGATGTTAAGTGCTATCTCCTCAGAGATCATAATAACAAGTCTGTCTTTGCTTTGCTCTTAATGGGTTAATTTTTCTAGTGTGAATGAATTGGGTATGCTAATGTACATAATTGTGTGTAATGATTTATTTTGTAATTATTGGGTATGTGAGCAAATGAAAATAATAGGTATTTGAATGTATTTACAAATATGTATTCATGATGTACAGATTAGAAACTTAGAAAGTAGGTTATTAACTGGAGTTTGTTTTCCTCTTTAATAAACAATAGCTCTTCTCCTAAATTATCTGAATGCCTTCAGAAAAAAAAAGAGATAATTGAGCAGATGGAGATGAAATTGGATACTGGCATCGATAGGCAAGTTAACTGTTTTTCTCTCTTTTTTCCCCTGCATTTTTAAAACTTATAGAAGTGCATTTGCATTGCAGCATGAACATTGTTTATTTTTACTCTTCTGGCTGTAAAGTTGATACTTTGACATATTGTTCTTATTTTTAGGAGAATGTTATTTTTATTAATTCCCATGGTGTTTTTTGTTTTGTTTTGTTTTGAAAGTCAGTGTGCTTAGATATACTTTCAAGTCAAAACAGTTAGAAATACTTTTTAAACCCCATTCCTCTGTACCACACTGTACAAGCTACAAATTCCTTTGAAAAATGAGATGCGGGGCTGGGATGTAATCTAGGGGTTAGGGTACTTTAGTGTGTGAGAAGCCCTTGCTTCAATCCTTAGTGCTGCTAGAACAACAAAGGTATGCAGTGTTTATTGTTATATTTCCATTTAGTGTGTTCTGGCTTATCTATGAAATGTTTGAATAGTTGTACTGGTTTTGTACATGTAACTTCTGTTGAGTGAATTTTAAAACTTTTTATATTATTTACTGAAGACTATAAATACTATTACTTTCCAGGTTTCTGTTTTCAGATGATAGTGGTCTTATATTGATTGAAAATTAGTATAGCTCCCTGTTTCAAGTATTTGCCATATATCAGGCACAGTACGAGGACTATGAGCTGTATCCTATTCTCACCATCTTATGTTGGTCTACTGTCATTTTGTAACTTGACCTCATTATTGTTGTGCTTAATTATGTGGTCTGTCTCTTAAATTTAACCTAAAACTTATAATTTTGACCACTCTGCTTGCAGCCACTGAACTCTAAATTAGTGTAGTCTTTTATTCCCATAAGCTTACTGTTGGAGAATATCACACAAATTAGATTTTATTGGTGCCTTCTAATCAGTGCCTTTATTTCTCAGCTGGGATTTAGTGCACTTGTTCATCTTCCTGATTGTCCTTTGACTGTGGGACTCAATGTGCCTACTACCACAGCCATTCTTTTGAGGCCTTTCTCCTCCACTTTCCTTAAGATTCTCTATGTATGGCTTTGCCTTAGAAGAGCCTTAGTTAGGAAGTAACTATTGGTAGATTGCAAAGATCTTTTCATGGGAGAAAGATGATAAAACAGAAGCTCTTTGATAGCAAGTCATAAAATGACTTTTTTTTTCTAAATTCTAGTTTGCCAATACCAAAGTGTTTTGTAATGATAGGAAATTAAATAATTTAACTTAATTTAGTATAATACAAAGGTAAAATTGAGTAAGTTAAATGTGTCATATATTTTGTGTTCTCAATCTTTAGGACATTAAATTGTATGATTGGACAGATGAAGCATATCTTGGCTGCAGAACAAAAGAAAACAGATTTTAAGCCAGAAGATGAAAACAATGTTTTGATTCAGTATACTAATGTGAGTGGAACTATTCAGTTTGCTAATATATTATCTTCTTTATTAAAGCTTGAACAATCATTAGTGTGCATAATTGTGCTTTAAGTTTTTTCTCTTATACTTGGAAATTGAAAAACTATTTTTCTTTGCTAAGCTGATACACATATCTGTATAATAAGTATAGAAAAACTTTTACAGGCATGTGTAAAAGTCTGTGCTTATGTAAGAAAACAAGTTGAGAAGATTAAAAATTCCATGGATGGGAAGAATGTGGACACAGTTCTGATGGAACTTGGAGTACGTTTTCATCGGCTCATTTATGAGCATCTTCAACAATATTCCTATAGTTGTATGGGTGGCATGTTAGCAATTTGCGACGTAGCTGAATATAGAAAATGTGCCAAAGACTTCAAGGTACGTTTAAACAAATATCGAGCTTGCAAGCCATAACATTAAAAACCTATACTGACTTGTTAAGAAGTGTGTGATTTCATTGGCATCATAAGGAGAGCTCTAATACAGCTTACCTAAAGGCAGTTATTCCAGTTATATTTCAATATTAGCATTTCCTTAGGGGTTTTATTTTAATTAAGGTCATATATTTCAGCACATTCCATCCAGGTGCCTTTTAACATTCATGAAAAATTATGGTTATGTCACACATTAGGAAAATATTCTTTTTTTCATGTGTGTTCCTCTAAAATCAGTTTTCTTTCATATTTAAGTTATTTTTAAAGGTGCTATCCTAATGATAATTAGTTCTAGTGTATCAAATTACAAATTATTGAGAAAATTGAATAATATGGATCTTTTCAAAGATTATTAAGAGTTTTAACTATGGAAACCTTTGAGACTTAGCTCTTCAGAAGCTTTAAAAATTCTGACATATGGAAAGTCTCCCATACAACCAGAATGTGAGAAGAATTTGCAGAACTTACTAGGAAGTAAGTTGTTCTGGTTCAATGCTTTTCTTTTCCTTTCTCAATTCAGATTCCAATGGTATTACATCTTTTTGACACCCTGCATGCACTTTGCAATCTCCTGGTCGTTGCTCCAGATAACTTAAAGCAAGTCTGCTCAGGAGAACAACTTGCCAGTCTGGACAAGAACATCCTTCACTCCTTCGTCCAACTTCGTGCTGACTATAGATCTGCCCGCCTGGCTCGACACTTCAGCTGAGTTGAAGTCACAAAGGAAATATGTTGTATTTTAGAAGGCCTCGGGTGATGGAAGCACAGGAGATTCCTTATGACACAGCCAATGTTTTATCTGGAAAAAATGACTGGAAGAAAGCAGCAGCCATACTTACCCAGGAATTTCATTGAAAGTTGGACACCATTAGCTATATTTTGCTTTTTATCTTTTCCCTGTTACATTGAATTCCATACTTTAATTTATAAATTTCAAATTCTATAAACCTATACGTGACTGTTTTAATCCTGAAAAACGTTGGTGTGAGAAGATGAATGAATTTCACCAGTGTTCTGGTTCTTGATCTTTAACGCATTCTCTCTGGAAACCCTACCATTCCTGTTTTGATTAAAGTAGGTGAAGTGCAGTAAAACTATACTTCTTATTTATCAGTTCTTCAGTTAACTTTTTAGCACCGGTGATTGTTAATTAAGTTATTAGATTTCCCTAAAGAACTTGTGACAACTCAAAAAGATCACAGTTGAGCATCATTTCTATAAGTGGTTGGGGGGCTTTTCCTGAGGTACAGCAGTACTAGTCCAGGGAAAATGTTATGAACTAAACTGAAATGATGAACTGTTTTAAGTAGATGGTAGGAACAAATCAGAATATATCTGCTTTCTGGGTAAAACTTCCAGTTTACTATTTCTTATTTGATAAATAGATTTAAGCCAATTAATTAGTAAGAAATTAATGCAACTACCTTATTTTATATTTAGCTTAAGGTGGAATACTTTAAAGGACCATGTTTGTTATTTTAATACTCTGAATAAAAAAGTGACATATAGTGTAAACTGTATTTATGAAAAATAGCAACATGTTTAGCAACAATGCAGTCAGTCTCTTAAGACCAACCTTGAATGAAATGGGATGGCTAAATATTCAGTAGTCTTCTATTTTAAGAGGAATTGAGAATTTCAGGTAATAAATATTATATATTCCAAGTTTGGAGCAAGCTCACAGCAAAAGCCTGCTTTTCAGTTCTGAAGATTCTTTCACTGTCCATTTTCAAGGCATTTCTGAAGTTATTCCTACTTGGATATTATTGATTGATTGGCTTAATATGGTACAATAATAAAGCACTCACAAAAGTTTAAACATCGATAAAAATTTAGAAAGGCCATTGCTCTGTAAACCCTATTAACTTACTCTATGAGAATACATTCTAAGTTATATATAGTCCATTATATTGTTCATGGTCTTCCAGGACCCAGGTAAGCTGTAATATTCAGTTCATTCATAGCATTGTTTTCTCTTAATGTAGGGTTTGGCCTAATTTGGGGTGAATTGTTTATTTCTTCTGAAAACCTCACTCTGAATAGTTATCACCATTACCAAGCTGTCTAATCCAGAATTAGCTACTGTACAAGTTACTGTTGACTGTATTTCCATTTTCTGTTTAGCCCAGTGTTACAAAGGTAAGCAAGGACAATGAGCATGCCAACTTTTGTCACTTTTATAGGACATTGTGGCAGTTTTAGAGGCTTTCCAGAAAGCAGTCCTCAGACCAGGGAGAGCCAGAACAGGTCCGGATACTAGAAAAGATCTATACTTGTACTGTTGCCACTTTCGAAAGTACTGATGTGAATTCAAATTATACCTCTGTTACTTCAAGCCAACAGTTTTCAGGCAGTAGTTTTACTGGCCATTTGAACTCTTTGTACAGTGTCAATTTGTAAAAAAAAAGAAAAGAAAAAAAGAAAAGAAAAAAATTAAAACATGAGATAACATTTTAAGACTTCCAAATCAGAGAAGCACTTCAAATTATTTTGTTTGAATTAATTTTTAAAAATGTAAAGCAGTTACTTGTTTAGATATTTTGTTAATTATTATTTCCATGCTTGAGTTCTGTGCAATATTTTCCATTATGTCCACTGACAGGACAAAGAAAATTCAAAGTGAATACCTTATTTAGAAGTGTTAACTTTCATGCTCAATAAACAAATTCCCTGCAATTGTTTTTTTATTTCACCCAATTTTTACATTTTAAGAACATCTGTAATGAATTATATATTTGATTTTTTACTAAAAGTATTCCTTATTTTTCATAGTTTAGATTTCTCCCCTTTTTTTAGCGGAAAGGAACATGACTATATAATTAAGATTTAAAAATCTAACTAGAATAGGGTGTTTCTCTAAAGAAATAAAAATATGTGTTGTATGAACCAGTATACATTCTTTGCATTTCACTCTTAAAGTATTTACATATATGGGCATCATAAAATTTAGTTCAAAATGTATAACTCAAAAAAGATTGTCAATAGATAAAATGCTTTTATACATACATGGGAAATTTTTAGTTAGACATAATGGAGTTTAATAAATTTTACCAAAATTTAAATAAGAATCTTTATAATATCCCACAGTTCTGTGTGAACTACACATAATATTTAAGTATAAATATTTCATTTAAAATGTGCTCCAAAACACTGAAAAGTGTTTGTCTAAACTTGAGTGTCTTAATTTGAGATGCAGAACACAGACTTAAGAAGAAGGCTAGTTTCTGAATTACTGGAAATGATAGAGCACACAAGTCCTTATACATAGGTTTAGGATGGCCCCTGAATTAATTGAAAATGGTAGAGTACACTATGAGTCCTTACCAAGAATTATTAGATTTTATTGGGTGGATCGATTTTTAGAATATGACAATGTAACCATTCCAAGACAATTACTGGCCTCCTTTAGGAATGCCATTGCTGTGAATCCCTAGGGTCTTCCTTGTTTTAAAAAGTGCTGCTCACATAGGTTAAAGGAGGTTAAGTTAAATTTTAAAGAAGGTAATTTGTGGTATATTTTCTTTGCTCTTTCCATTTTTCTTTCCTTTTATGCCTAAATATTTTACTTTCTGAATACTAGCTTCTTAAACACAGTGAAGTAAATTACCAGTCAATAGATTGATTCAAAGTGGAGGATTTACTGCTTCCTTGAGATGTTTCTGCCTACATTAGAGCACATCCAGATGAAGAGAGAATGGCTCCTAAAATAGCCCTGAACTTCAGAGTGGTCATGTTCATAAGGCTAAGACATGCTTGAATTGTTGGTACAAGAGTAAGGGGCACTCAACTTCATGCCTTGTGACCAGAAAAGATTGTATCTCCTGATTAACGTGATGCTCTTACAAAAATATTCTGTCATTGCCCACGCATTGTTCACTGCTTTTTCGGGAGTGTGAGATCTTTTCCAGAAGCCCCCTGGACTTACTTGACTTCTAACAGAGACTTTGGTATACAAAGTACTCTGATTTATCCAGTTCGAATTATGTTCAGTTCCTTTACTACTGTACTTGAGAAGGCTTATCCTACAATTTACTACATATTTTGGGAAAGAAGACCAGTGCATATCATTATGCCAAATAATTTTTCATGAAGTTAAAAACAGCCATTTAAAATTTTAACGCATAGTAAAGGTAATTATATCTACATTTATTGGACTTAAGTCTCATGTGCTGTGCTAAGTCCTTTGCATATATTATTGATTCCAGAGTAACTATCATTTGGGTACTATTATTTTTGTTTGGCAGGTGAAAGACCTAAGGCACAGAACAGGTAAGGAGACCTTCAAGGTCTGTAGGCTGACACAGGCTCAGACTTAAATGTCGTAAAATGGGAGTGAATAATGTCTTTTATAATTTATATTGTATTTTTCTTATTTGTGTGACATTATGTATATTGCTTATTTTGATAGCCTCATCAGTTTTACTTAATTTTCTTTTCATCCAGTATTTGATTCTCATTGCGAAGTTTAGATAATGAGGTTGGAATACAGGATCTGTATCAAGCTACTGTTAGATTTTTTTAAATATTTTAGTGTGCAATCATACTATCTCAGTTGGTGTTTAAAGTTATATAAGTAGTCATGAAATTTTAATTCAATATTAAGTTTGTATTTAATGGAAACCTACCCATCACAGAGGTTTCCCTTAGTGAATATATTATACAGTCATATTTCATATTGTTTCTGCTTAATAATTTTAACAATAGAAAGAGTCTAGGTATTTCATAAAAGTTTTTGAATTTTTTATTTTCTGAGATTATAATAATTACATAATTTCCTCCTCTTCTTTCCTCCAAACCTTCCCATTTACCCGTCCTTGCTCTTTTTCAAATTCTGGTCAGCCAAGAAAACACACATAACAAATAACATTATATAGACTGAGTAGGTTGTAATTATGTATTTAGGAATATGTGTATACATACATGCATATGCTCATACAGTTTTCTTATAGCATGGGAGAAAATAATAACTCCCCCTTAGGGGATACAAAGAAAGCAGTGTTTTTACATTCAAAAATAGACTACTTTAAATGTCATGGGCTTGCTGATTCTGTTAGCTGTTTAATGTATCTTGAAATGGCTAATTCTAGAGTGAAAATGTAGGACAAAAAGTAAATTATTAATAATTTATAATCATTAGAATTTTCATTGGTGAATGGAGCTGGTAACCCTGGACTTAACTAAGTACGTAGTTTTAAACTAGGCACTGCATATTTTATCACTGCTATTTGGTGATATTATTTGCTGTGGGTATCAATAAACGTTCACTCTTATGACTAAATATCCATGTGGAGCAAAAAAGACCAGCAGTTAAACACAGTTGCTCATTTTCTCAATGGCTTAGAGGATTGTCATCTGCCTTAACGTTACAAGGCCAATTTAAATAGGAATATATCCTATCATACTCCAAATAGCAAACAACCTCAGAAGAAAGGCATTTTTGTGTTGGCCATCAGTGAGGCACTACAAATGTATAATTATTTGCACTAATATTTGAGCAGATGGAATGGATTAGAATATGGTTAACATTATTTTGCAGACATGTATTTTTCTATTAATATGTACTGTGCAACGTGTTAAAACTGTAATATTTATATTACTGTGTTTAAGAGGCAGTATCCAATTGAGCCACTTTTAATTAAAAAATTTGAGACCAGAATTATGTTTACATTCCAGAAAGCACTTAACTTACTTTATAAACAAAAGATCAGTAAAACAGACTTACCATGCCTGCTACTTAATAAGAGGAAATACATAGGGTTGAGATTGGAGGTAGGAATCTAGAATGAGAAAGCTAAAGGCTCATTTATACTCATAACTTTTATCACTGTTAGCAGTCTTAAATGAAGAAAAGATCCCTTCCATAATATCTTTATATTAGTAAGCTAGGTGAAGATTGGGTAGAACCTGTTCCGTAGAACTGATCTCCTAAGGAAGACTTCCAAATCGTAGGTTAAACCTGACGAAGTGGGAAACCTTGATGCCCCTGTAATCCTAAATAGGCAAGTGCCCTTCAGTGAGGCTGCTCTTGTGCCTGACAGTCATCTTTATCTTCGTTCTGTGGGGATCTCGGTTTCCAGTTTTCTTGAACTCCGGCCTTTGGTTGTAGCATTTCTGTCAAATGTGTGGCTTTTCCTATAAAGCTATCCAACTAGAAATCCAGACACAGTACCAACCTAAAGAAGACTGGGGCTACCTCTACATATATTGTTTGTAAATACTGTAGGGGACACACACGAAATTATGTGACGATACTTTATAAATATTTTCCTAAGTGCCTATTAGGATTCTCCAGTAGAAGGTATTTTCAATTTTTACCACAAGGGGGTGATGTTATTTTTATAGTGATAACTTATTTTTATTTAAAAAATAGAATTCATGTAATTTTACTGAACATCTGTGAACACTACTGTCATACACTGAAGGGGTGTGTGTGTGTGTGTGTGTGTGTGTGTGTGTGTGTGTGTGTGTGTGTGTAATTCAGAAAGTCATCAATGAGGAAAAGTCTAAGAAAATTAAGAGCACAAAATCCAAACATGTTTGTATACAGAGATGGATGACTTGAACCAAATCCACCACAACTAAAATTGTGTTTTTAGAGTTTTGTATGTAACATTGAATTATTTGTCAGCTTTTTAAAAATAAGGATATTCATTGTCTGCATTCACTTTTTAATGGGGAAACTTTTGAAATAAACTCAAGTGTAAAGAAAGAATTTTAAGGATGTACCAAACAAAAACTTCCCCTTTGGTGGTAAATTGCTCCTGTGATGTTATCTTGCAATTCTTTAGCATTTCCCAGAAGAAGAATTCTGTCAGACCATAATACCGCTGTTGAACTCGGGAATCTGCTTTGACATGTAACTGACATCTAGTCCTCAGACCCCACTTCAGTTTTACAGGTTTGTCTCAATGTCTCACTCTGGGATCCAGATGAAAACCATGTGAGGCTCCAGATGATCTGCAGTTCATTTGCTTGAACACCTGTTGCTTCTGACTTTTCAAACCCCACCACCACCACTGTGTGGATTATAGGCAGTTACTGTGTCCCTGAGTTTGGATTCCTGTTTGCTCATGGTTGGATCCCAGTCATACTCGTGGGGACCGTCACAGTTGCTCTGCTACACTCTGTTTGCACCCTCTCGGGTCTTCACAGCTCTACCTCAGCCACTTGAGTGCTCATTAACCATGTGTTTAGGGACCAGTCCCGCACTGTGTAGGGCTGCTCTTTTCCCTGTAAAATGATGTTGTGGGGAGTTGCTTTGTATGTAGCAGAGTCTAATCACAATTTCAGTTAGTACCAGTTTTCTGTTCAAGGGACTCGTGAGGATTGTCTCTAGTTGGGTCACTGGGAGCCTCTTCAGGTTGGCTCTTGTGCTCCTTTGGCATTCCCAACATTTTACAGGCACTGGCTTGCACTCAGTACAACAGACTTTTCTAAGGTCATTTTGTACTTGTCTACCCTAGCTCTCCCATCCAAGTACTAACCAGGCCCAACTGTGCTTCACTTCCAGGATGAGGTAAGATTGGGCCCCTCCAGGGTAGAGTGGCTGGAGATTTCCTGCAGCTCTGAAATCAGTCATCCTTCTTTTCAGTGGAAATTGGTACTTGGAAGCCAAGGTTTGTGACTGGTTATACTCATTAAAATGGAGATGCTGCTGCTTCTAGTGTGTAGTGCTGGGAGCTTTGTGTGATTATCTGTACATGTACTCATTCTTAAAACACATATCCATGGACATACACTCCTGCGCCCTCTCCCCCTTTATCACACACAACCCCATGAGATTCAGTGCCCCATACTGGATTCCCCAACCCCATGCAGAGGAGGGAGGGCATCCTCATCTTACTCAGCTACTGAAGTATTGACTTTAGGACCAAATTGGAAGAACAGGAATGGTCATTTTAGAAATCATGTAAGTCAAGTGTTGGTGGTGCATACCTTTAATCCAAGCACTCAGGAGGCAGAGGCAGGTGGATCTCTTAGAGGCCAGCCTGATCTACAAAATGAGTTCTAGGATAGCCTGATCTACAAAATGAGTTCTAGGATAGTTGGGGCTACACAAAGAAACCCTGTCTCAAAAAAAAAAAAAAAAGAAAAAGAAATCATGTAAAGGTTTTTAAATTCTAAATAAATTATTCATAACTTTATCACTCAAGCAACTATATGGGGGGTATACTGTAGTGAGGGAAATAGTAAAGGTGAATTGTTTATAAAATGTTACATTAAAAAGTTAAAATTTGGAGGCAAATTTAAAATGCATAGCATGTTTTTCTATATCTCTTTACTGCTGTAATTGCTTATTTAATGATAGAGTGCATCATAGGAACTGTGAATGAAATTTTAGCTGTTAAATACTGGATAAGATGATTTTGCTAATAAATTCCAAAGGAAAAAATGATTATATAATTGTTGTTTTTATAGGCCCTTAAAAAATATGTGTTCAGGTTGACTTCATGTGAGACAGGAGTCTATCAACGCTAGGTCTCATACATACTGAGGTCAACTTCGTGTGAAATGATAGACTGAGACACAGACGTCAACTGAGTTATATTTCTAAAAGATAAAACAGGATTCAAGCTTTCCTCTGGCTCCGAGACCAGCGTTTTAAGCACTTGTTTGTGTTACCTATAGAGTTCACAAAGGTGGCCATGTTTCATCTGGGCTTATGCAAGCATCATTTTACAAAATGAGGCAGGAGACGGGGCAGAGTGACTGCTTACAGATGTGTAGAATCTGAACCACTGCTGTGTTCACCAAATGGAAAGATGGCTTTGAGAGTCGAGTTCAGCATGAGTGAGTATGTGTTGGAAGGCAAAGCTGGGATGGTTTGGGTTAGCCAATTAAGTCTTCAGTGATAGGTCAGTTGATTTATTATAGAAACAACAAATCATTAAAGATGGAGTTTGTTTTAGACAATGCAGTATAAACATGCAGTGACAGAGAAGAGAGAGCGGAAGCCAGGCTCCTGCATTAATAGGGGTGGTGAAGGCCTGAACTTGGATGGCACTACAGGACCAAACTATTGGCTTGTTTGTGTATATTAGGAAAGTAGGCTTAGGAGGAATGTCCCTGTGTGCTGAAAGTTCGTCAGACCTGTCACCAGAACTTGGCCTAGGTTTTGTGAGGAATTGAAACTTTTAAATTTTCACTCTTTAGAAGAACAAGGTTGGAAAAAGAAATGTATTCCTTTTGTGGCTTTGATAAGGGAATGAATTTTTGAAATTTCATTTGATAGCTATATATGTCTTCAAAATTTCCTTTGCATAAAAAGGAAAACAAGCACTCTAGTATTTCCATATTCCAGTGCTAGCTGTAGTAGGGAGACTGGGGGGATATATATACAGTTGTCCTTGAGGTCACGCCTATAGAGAGGGCAAACTGGAAATTCTGGTTATCTTTGTATTGAAGTAACTGCTCATATCCTTAGGAAGTTTTACATCCTGATTCCTAATTCTAAGTCCCAATCTTTCACTTTTCCAAGGGTATCTGGAAAAATACTCCAGATTTGTAACACAAATCTCACCCACTGTATTTTAACTATAATCCCAAACAGTTGCATGTTTATCTGAGTAAGGCTACCAAAATGACCTCTTGGTAATAGTGTATGGAAGTGTAATTAAACAGTTAATTGTCCTTGATGCTTTTCAGACAGTGTTTTGAAAGCATGTTTTGTGACCATTTGGAAGTTTGATGTGATGAGTTATTTCAGTTGGACTGCCAGTTCACTAAAGGATGAGTTATCTCAGAGTACAGGTACATTCTAATCTGCTGTGAGAGCTTTATTGACACAGTGAAATGAACTAGGTTTCATTTGGATTTCTAATGCTTGGACCAAAAGCATGTGTGCAGAATATTCAATATTTAAATAATTCAGGAAATTATAAATACTTTTTCATTAATATTATGAAATCATATTTAGTAAGTAACTTAGTGCATATAATTTTCACTAGTGACTTTAAGACATTTAAATTTTGTGGTTTTTTCCATGAAGGAGACTGTAAAGCACTAAATGGGGGATATGTACTGATAAGATGGCTCAGCAGGTAAGAAGGCTTGCCACCATCCCTGACAGCCTGAACTCGATCCTCAGATCCTATGTGCTGTAAAGAGACATCTGACTCCTGTAGCTTGTCCTCTGACCTACATGTATGCAATGTCATGTGTACCCCCATACACACATATGCATACCCACAGATGAATTTTTAATTTAATAAGCTTTATTATATAAAAAAAATTGCAAATCAGACCCACCATTCACTCAAATTAACCAGATTCAAAGTCTGTACATCTCAAAGACCATAGCCAGCCTGGGTTAAAGAGTGAGATGTTGTCTAAACAAAAAAACAAAAAACTTAGGCTCTGGTGACATACTTGAAAAGTTCCTACAACTATTAAAAGGAGAAACAATACCAGTTTTGTACCGACTTCCCAAGGAGTAGAACACCTAACATACAGCCAGTATAACCTCCATGCTGAAAACTAACAGGAAAAAGGGAAATTACAGAATCTCTCAGGCATGTAGAGCAAAAATCCCAAAGTACTAAGAACCTAATCCCAGCGATAGCTAAAAACTGCATTATATCCACATAAGGTTTATTTCAACAATAGATTATTTAAAATCAAAATCTACCGGGGTTGGGGATTTAGCTCAGTGGTAGAGCGCTTGCCTAGCAAGCACAAGGCCCTGGGTTTGGTCCTCAGCTCCAGAAAAAAAAAAAAATTAATAAATAAATAAATAATCTACCATGTTTATTGAACTAAGGTGCAAAAAAAATTGTTAATGAAGTTCAGTATTCATTGTTTTTTAAAGCAAATTAGTAATAAAAGAAAATTTCTTACAGTAGGTATAAAAAGTAGCAAGACTAATTATTAAAGTGTTAAAATTCTGATTTCTGAAATCAGCAGTGAGACAAGGAAGTATGCTATCATTTCTGTTTAATATACTAGAGCTCCTTGCCAGCATAGTAAGGCAAGAAATAAAATTGCATTGTTTGGGAATGTGATTGTATATGCAGAAAGTCTGTAAGAATCTAGCAAGATTGCTGGGCACAAAACCAATATATGAGAAATGACTTTTCCTTTACACTAGCAATAGCCATTTGAAGATAAAGCTCTTCAGACAATACCAGTTGCACAGGCACCAGCTACCTAAGAGTAACAGATGTGAGAGAAGCTGTGCCTACGACTTTAGAACATCCTTGAGGGAAGGTAGACTACACGGCCATCATGGGTCAGAGGGCTCAAGGTTATAAAGTGGTCTCTACATTTAACAGAGTCTTAACCGAGATACTTGAGCTTTGAGAAATCCATTCTACTGTGATAGAATCCTGGAATTCTGCCTTCTGGAATGTGGGAATTAGTTCATTATGCAGGTAGGACAGAGCCTTTCATCTGGAAGGAAGGAAATATTTCCAAATTCATTTTGCTTTTTCATTATCTCAAATCCTAAAAGAGCTTTCCAGTGCTCTTCATATCTCCAAATCCAGTCCTCCAACTACCTGGCTTCTAAGAGCAAGAGTCTCCTGTCACCACTCCTAAATCCAAAATCCATTCATTTTCTGTGCAGACAAAGAATAGGGGAAAATAACTGCAATAGTTAATACAAGTTGAATCTACAAAATATACATATCCTTAAGAAAGATTCAAGCCGGGCGGTGGTGGCGCACGCCTTTAATCTCAGCACTTGGGAGGCAGAGCCAGGCGGATCTCTGTGAGTTCAAGGCCAGCCTGGGCTACAGAGTGAGTTCCAGGAAAGGCGCAAAGCTACACAGAGAAACCCTGTCTCGAAAAACCAAAAAAAAATAAAAAATAAAAATAAATAAAAAAAAAAAAGAAAGATTCAAATAGAAAACAGGCAGAACCATTTGAGACAGCCACAAATGAAGACATTTAACAACCGGTAGAAATAACATGAAGTGCTCAAACTTCCTGCTCACCAGATACTTACCGTGTGAGAATCCACATCCCACAGAACAGCTAGCATTAAGAAGGCCAGACAACTCCATCACATAGCCATGTGAACCAAGTGGAGGGCACACCTTTCTGATGGGGCGGGCATCTCACGATTTTGGTTACATTATTTTTTCAGTTTCATATGCATACAGGAAAGTTCCATTCTTGCCTTTAAACAGGCAAATTGATGTCCAAGAAGAATGTGAGGGGGCATCTGAGCACAGTTAACATGAGTGCATTTCTTTTTTGAATTTTTTTCTTTTATTGGAAATAGAGGGGGTTTTTTCAAACAATATATCCTGCTTACAGTTTCCCCATCCTCTACTCCTCCCAATTCCTTCCCACCTCTCCTTTCATCTCAGTCTACCTCCTTTCTGTCTCATTAGAAAACAAACAGGCATACTTACCTGAAAAGCTCCCATGATCACGAAGGTCATTTTCCCAAGGTGAGGCATATCCATTGCACTCTGGATGTGCTGACCCCTGTGACACCCAACCCACAAGAGAAAATAAAGGCACCTAAGGAATAGTAATAAAATACAGTAAGATAAAACAAAACCAGTGGAACAGGACAAAACAAACATGGAAGAAAAAGAGCCCAAGAAAGAGCACGAGAAACAGATACGGACTCAGACACCCACTAGTTTACACACTCAAGAATCCCCATAAAAACACAAAACTAGAAGCCATAATATATATGCAAAGGACCTATAGGGTAAAAAATGAGAAATTTTAAAACTTAGAAAAATACATTTTAAAAAAGAGGCCCTGACACGATATTATGAAACAAGGACCCTCCAAAGATGCTGTTGAGTTCATTTTCTGTTGGCTATCTACTGCTGAGCAGACAGCCTACACTTAAGAGTAGTTTGTTTCCCCAGTAAGACTCCCTTGGAAAAACTAAACTTTCATTTGCAAGTGGTTGTCAATTGGAGGTAGCTTCTGGGTTAGGGATGTGGGCTTGTGTCCACTTCTTTCAGCTCCAGGACCCCAATTGGTGCAGGCCCCTGCAGACCCTGTGCATGCTGCCTCAGTCTCTGTAAGTTCATCTGTGTGCCAATCCTGTTGTGTTTAGAAGGCCTTGTTTCTTGGTGTCCTCCATCCATCCCCTCTGACTCTTACACTCTTTCTGTCTCCTCTTCCTCAGTGCTCTCTGAGTCCTGAGGGGAGGGATTTGATGGAGACATCCCATTTAGGACAAGTGTTCCAATGTCTCACACTGTCTATGTAACGTCTGGCTGTGGGTCTCTGTATTTGTTCCCATCTGCTGCAGGAGGAAGCTGCTCTGATGAGAGCTGAGCAAACTCTGATCTGTGTGTACAGAAGAATGTCATTAGGAGTCATTTTACTGCTAGTCCCTTTAGTAGAACATATTATTTGGCTTTACCTTAGGTCCTAGCGCTATGTAGTCTCAGGTTTTTGGTCACCCAAAAAAGCGTCAGGTAT